CGGGGTTTAGGTCTACTTCGATGGCGTCGAGAGGGGTTTGGATGACATCTGGCGACTCTCTAGTAGTCACCATTTGTCCTGTCGAGCGACGAAAGTCTTGTGAGTGTTCGATTCGTCCCGATCCGTCCATTCTAACGATCCAACCGCTCACACCCTCATCCTGACCTAGTATAATGGCTGACGAACCCCTAGGAATAGTGAAGTTAGACTTCAACCTTGTCTCCCTCGGTATCTGAACAAAACATCGTTCACCAAATCTCCACACGCTATCTAGGTTTGTGTCTCTCCATGTGAGTGACGTCCAACCTGATTTACCACTGACACCAATCGATGTTTTCATGATTATAATGGCGGCGTATCTGACAGCATAGGACCAATATTCGTTCGGTAGTCCTGAGTCAAACAACATCGTTGATACCATCCCCTTCAAGGTACGTATCATTCTCTCCGCCACTCCATTTAATGCTGGTGTGTATCTTGGTGTGATGTAGTGGTTATCCCTGCTGACAGGTAGAATTCCCTCATATCGAGACTATCGAATTCACCTCCCCCATCAGACCTAATCACCCTCACTCTTTCACCAAGCTGTTTCTCCAATTTCGAAATACACTGTCGAACGATATCAGATGCTTCGTTCTTAGTCGTTATTGGTATAGCGAATACAATTCGACTCGCCCTTTTGTAACGGTACTGGAAACACGATGACTAGGTCGCAGGTTGGGTCGAACTCGATGGAAGTCTCGTGGAAATCTATGTGTCTCTGGTGCTATGTGATGGATCGTGTCTCCTCTGCAATTGATGTAGCCAAAGAATGATATTGAAGAATCAGCAAAGTTGGTACTTTGCTGATTGTACTATATACTGTCTACGGATATCCTCATCCTTGTCCCCTTCCTGCTGCAAGCGTCTACGTACATACTCGGACAGGTGAAAACCCGCTTTGAGCAAACCCAGTGGGGAAATCTCGAAAGGGGAAAACCCGTCCCTACCTACTGCAGCACTGCCTCCAACTCCCGCTTTCCTCTGTCCTAATCCGTCGAACTCGATAGAGTCCTCTCGATTCGTTGTTACCCCGTAACACCTTTCTACACCAACGAAGAAATATCGTTCACCTTTTATCGCCAGACCGAACGGACCAGTAATATTGACATCCATTCCTACTCCTTCACCATCTCCTTTTAACATTGGTGCTTCTTTATTCTTCGGTAGACGTGTTATCTTGGCCTGCATTCAGGCGGGACATTTATCAGTCGTAAAGGGATCGTTCTTGTAAGTGTCCCAGTCCTTCTTCAATAGTCCCTGTCTACCTAGATTCTTTAGTTTATCCACACCTATATGTCTGAGTCGCTGATGCTCAGATTCGAGTGGTGAAGTCGCCTTCGGTGTCGATATCACGATCATCGCGGCAGACATTGCTCTGCCAAATCGTACCAACCACAGTGAGTCATGTTTCCTCAAACCTAGTTTTTCTTTACCTTTACCTATCCATCCACCACCGCTGCTTAGATTCGCCTTCCACCCCCATGAGAGTAACTTAGAAAGGGAGAGAAGACTTATCTTTGCTGTGGGGACGTGATGTACATCTTTCAGTACCATCTTCTGTCCTGAATCTAGTTCGAGGTTAATATCACCTGTTTCCCAAGCCGTCATTGACTTGCCAGATGCTAGTCCGAACACTCTCGGTTCCACTAGTCTTTTAATATTGGTCATTATCAACCTGTGAGGAGTTATGTGGTGAGTAGCACCACTATCCACTACCCAGGTGGGGATTACACGAGTGTGGCTTACGTCATTAGACTCTGTAGCTAATCCCACCCATTCATTATCCTCAACCCACGGGTTTTCAATTTCTTCGGGCCATACGATATTACTCATGTACCCTTCGTCATCATCGAACCATGATTCTGTCGACATGGCCATCCCGGCCCACGCCGCATGTTCACCATCCAATGACGAATACATCAAGGAGGTTTTGGAGTTATTCTTGGACTGGTTCTCATCCTTCGAGACCGTATGTCCTTTCTTATTATTCTTATTATTCCTCCATTTCTTTTTACCTCCATCCTTTCCATCTGCGTCTTCTTTCCTGTTCGTATCCTCTCTTTTAGGTTTACGACAGTACTTCGCTAGATGTCCTACAGTGTCACAGTTATAACACTTTCTAGTTTCTTTCTTGGGCTGACCATCAGAGATATTATCTCGGTTCACCCTCATTCCTTTATCCCTTTCGGCGAACATCGCGAATCCCTTTCTATTGGTCCTACCAACAGGGCGCGCTTTACGTCTCGCCGTTTCGGCGTTAATGATCGACAATACTTTGTCCCAGGTCCTGTCCTCTTCGGGTACGGACATTAGTTCTAGGTGGATGATCCTGTATGCTGGTGCTAGGATGGTGTTGAGGAATAGACCTGCTCGTTCCTGTGAGTCAAAGTTCAATCCTGCCAACTTCTCAATCCTGCCAACTTCGCTTCAGCCATTGTCTTGGAGAAATCTTCTACATGCTTAGCCATCTCTTTGGCCGTCGCATCCTCCCTCAAGTCATAGCTAAACAATGCTTGACGGACGTTTCTCTGATTCTCGTTCGTGGCTGTTATGTGCATTTTCAAGCAGTAATCCCACATTTCTTTAGCTGACATCTTCTCAGATAAATCAAGCATTACAGCTTCCGTCACTGTTCCCTTGATCATCCCCTGCGCTTTATTCTCCCTCGCTTGCCACTTTTCCCACTCCTTCAACTCTTCTCCAGTAATCCTTCTACCAACCACTTGCCCTTCGGTGGGCGTGATAGGAGGTACTGATCCCGCCCTCTCAGTGTCCGGCCTAACCCCCACGCGACCAGGTTCGGTATCATTACCTGTCACGGTCCTGTCCTTGACAGATCTCTAAAGATCAAAGACAGGTGGACTGCAACTGTTTAGTTAGCTTGAACAACGATGGTTAGTATGTTGTTCGTGAACTTGTGATGTGGTCGGACGGCTAAAGTGACTTGCGAAGGATCCGAGCAAGTCGAGATGACAACAAGGGTGTGTGATATGACGTGGACAGGGGTTTTGTCGATGGAAGGCGTGTTAAAGATGAGTATATGTCAAGAAGAGAGATCTTTGTGAAGTGGCAAATAATATTTTGATCCTTGAGAAAAAGAAAACTACAAAGTACATACGTGCTCCTTTTATACCTTTCAGAGGGATTCAGAATGAGCTTTTCAATGAGTCGACTCATTGACTCATTCTTGTCTTGTCTCTCCTTTTCCCCTATAACCTCAGTATCTCATTGCGTCTCAATGAGTTCTCAATGAGTATCAATGAGTCTCAATGAGTATCAATGAGTATCAATGAGTATCAATGAGTATCAATGAGTATCAATGAGTATCAATGAGTCTCAATGAGTCTCAATGAGTCTCAATGAGTCTTCAGGGTAACTCACCGAGTCTCATTGAATTCAGGGTAACTCAATGAGTTTTGATGAGTCATGGTGGCGCGACTCGTCCGAGTCGTGACATTACCTGAGACGACATTCCATACGTCGCCTATCTGTAGATACACCTCAATCGCCTTTCTCCACGAAGCATACGTTGATGGATCGTAGGATAACTTGGGGAGATTCTCAAACGAAATCTTAGTCGACACAGAGGTCATTATGAGAGGAGTAGAATTAGGAACTTGCCTTAGTTATACACAGAGGTATGTGGACTTCTGACTGTTAATCTGTTTGCTGATAATTTGATGGTAATACAGAGGGGAAAAAGAGTATGCATCAATTCTAAATGTCTCTATACTTATCACATTCCACTCACACACATTAAACCAGAGACGATCGAATAAAGTTCAGAGGATAAGTTGAACGGAGAAATATTCGACAGAAGGGGTAATTATCTAACGGTGGTTTGGCCGTCCTGGCCCGATTCTATCGGCTAACAACTCACGATATCACACAATGCATCTGTGGCCTGACTCCACTATACTTCAGTTCACATTTTGTATGATGGATGAACTACACATATGAGCATCAGACCCTACAGACTTCCAAAGTTCCATTGGATAGGCAGCTCGTTCCTCAGTATGGGCTTTTCTTGTGGGATACCACCCTGGCCATAACGTTGTACTCATAATCCAGCATGTTTTCCTTATACTAGCCGCATATGAATTGCATGTTCCCCAACATCCTCCTAACAAACTGCGTGAACGCTTATGCAACCACTAAGGTATATATACCCTCCAAAGAATCCTGTAAGTACGTCTCTCATTTATCTCTGGTCTCAGTCTCCATCATTGGTACACCCTTCAGAGTTCCAACCAACCCCACTGAACTCCCTTTTCCAGTCATGTGCCATGCAGCTTCAGATTGGCATGTCTTCAGTACGGTACCTAACAGAGATGCTTACAGCAGAGGGTTAGTGAGCAACAGAGGCCACAGTACAACATGGCTGACAGCCAAGTACACTCTTTGGACTGTCCCGGAGCCTATCATCAGAGGGTGACAGTCATATGTACAATGAAACCAACCCTATGCCCGGGATTTCAGCTCTTCAACTGCAGATACTGATGGAGGAGAGATTGATGTGTTAGGGACACAGCCGGAGACGTTCACCTCCAGAGCTGCACGGACCTCATCGTTCCCAGCCAGAGACGTCCCACTCCGGAGGTGAATGCATGGCCTACCATTCCTCTTCAGAGAAACGGTTGAAGTATCTCTTCCATGAACAGATCTTACATTTGGCAGAGGAAAAGTGTGACTAAAACAGGTGCTCAAAGCATTGTCCATGATGTTCTTAAATACCCATGAGAGAAGAGACCTTTCAATATGATCACAAGAGACCACATAGCATCATAACTGTATCAGTTGTGGAATGGTTGATTTGTTTCTCATGGATGAGAGTCTGTCACGTTTTACATATGTAGCTCCTTACAGACATTTGAGTCAGACATATGAAACATCATCTAGGAAGGAGGAAACGATAACCAGTACCCACCTCAGATCCCCATAAAATGCTCTGAGTGGGACTAGACACCTCTGGAGGTGCACGTTTCTCCGGCTGTGTCCAAAGGGGGTGTTTTGAACCGTGCAGCTCCGGAGGTGAACGTCTCCGGCTGTGTCCCTAACAGATGCATTAGAGCGTATGCATGCAAGCTGAACTTTACAGCAACAGCCATAGGTCACACTGGGTAGGGATTCTCAAGCTGTGCCCGGAAGAGTATGAATGATTCTTCTCTGATTCTCCATGGGGAGTAATACATTTTACCTTCCTGAGCCCTGCCATCCCGGTTTCCATCCAGACTGCCACTGAGATAGAAAGGGGTGTCCAAAAGTGTCATTTGTTGGAGGAGCATACAGGTGCATGCCTTGTGGCATTGTGTAGCAATGGTCAATTATTGGGTAAACGGAAGGACTCAATGGGGGGGGTTGTTGATGATGTAACGGGTAAGGTGGATGGTCGAAGCCCACATAAGGTGTCCACGGAAGATACGGACCTGTGCTCCTGTATGGTGGGTGGTTTATGTAACCACCCTGATCTATTTCTGTGGTGAATCCAGTAGAGCCAGTATCTGATTGTGCGTCTCTTGTAACAGTGTGGCTGTCTGGTGAGCCCCGCTCTCTGGCAATTCTAGCATAAACCGTATCCCAGGTAAGCGGTGGCGGCGGCCCCTCAAACTGAGCAGCAGGGATGGGAGCGTCTCGTTCAACAGTGAGAACTTCCTGCTCAGGAGCTTGCCCCATTGGGTCCCCATCCTCGTTGTGGCTTTCCACCCTATGCATCTCAGTACTCCAGTCATTATGCCTTGTTTCAGGTGAAGTGTCCAAAGAGGGCCAATGTGGCTGGTGTTTTCCAGTGTCATTCAGGACTTGCATAGTCACAGAACTGTTTGGGTGGTTCATATTGGATGGACCTGGGAGCTCACAATGTTCAGAACTGCTGCTTGATTCTGAATCTTGAATGGCAGTCGGCAACATGGGTGATGAGCCTTCAAGCGAAATAGGTCTGTCTGGTAATTCGTCTACGGATTTCTCAGATGACACATCTAGAGTCTGTCGAACTTGTCTTGATATCTCCAGTTGACCCATCAGATCAGGATCCGCGTTTACTTCGGTAGAAAGGTCGGCGCGCAGACGATCAGTATCCGATGTTGGAAAGTTTGCTTGATTCGGCTCGCTAAGGTGCGGTTTCTCAATATGGAATGATTGATTTGGTGCAAAAGATGAACCACGTGCAATTTCTTGTACCGGGGTGACCACTGTCCGATCAACATCCGCATCGTTTGACCCCGATGTATGCGGGAATATTACGTCCTTGTTACTTACATCTGGCATGCCATGACCAGTGATGGATGTGCGTAAGCCATCCGGTTCAGCCTTTCTAGTTTCCACATGAGTGTGAGAGCCACCTTCATCCTGATGGTATGCATCTGGTGGCCGTGGGTTATTGTGCCCTCTTGCCCGACGTGCTTTTGATCTTTTACCTGGGTGCTGCACGTCTGGACCGTGAACGGGCCCATTCCCGGCAGTGCTAGTCCCTTGCAACTGTGTGGACTCGGTGGAATTCGGGTGATGATCATTGCTAACAGCATGGTCAGCTTGCGGACTTGATATCCTTCCGGAATCTTGTGCTTCATTAGCTTGACTATTATCCGGTTCTTCTGCCAGGGAAACAATTCCGATCGCGGGAGCTATGGTAGTTGGGGGGATATTTGCTGGTTCTCGTTGTTCTATGACCTTGCTTCCATCGTAGTTGATTTTCTTTTTCCCCTTCTTCTTCTTCCCAGGTTCTCTTGTTGTGATTGAAGGGGTGACAGCCGTCCGACCTCCTCCATGTGGTGTGTGTGAGAACTCCTGTGAAATATCACCTTCGTCAACCCTCTGTGATTGCATTACGGAGTCTTTTGTTGATTCTACCGGCAACGAGGGAGAAGCTGGTCGTGTGGAAGGGGTCAGCACACTCTCTCTTGCATTTCCGGTTTCACTCCGTTGGTCTCCATCCGTGGGGGCTGAGGGTGGTCCTCCTCCCTCTGACTTCTTTTTCTTTTTCTTTTTCTCTTTCTTTTCACCTTTTGATTCAGCCAGTGTGGGAGTTCTAGTCACACCCTTCTTGACAACTGTCTCCCCGGTTTCCATGCCAGCATCTACTGGCGGATCAGTTGGCGTTGCCGATTGAGTTGTTGATCGACCGATGTTTCCTTTTGAAGGCCTTGTGGGCCCAGGTGGGAAATGTGTGCCAAAAAGTGTAGAGTTGGCGCTGTGTTTACTGGTCATTTCTTCAAGAATTGTTCCAGCAAGTGAACCGTCCCAGTCCTGAATACTCTTTGTATCAAAGTCAGGCTTTGACACCAATGAGCTGAGTGGTGAGTTCTTTTTGATAAAATCACCCAAGACAGAGGGAATCTTAGACGACCTGCTGTACTGGCACATGATTGTTCCAACCATATCCAACCAGGAAAGAATGGGTCCACGTTCACTGGCTTGCATTGACTTTGCCTTTAGAATCATATCTTTGGTCAATTCCACAACTTGGATCACCGGTTTGGATCTTGCTGCTCTTATTTGGTCTGCACTCCAATTCACATCTATTCTTGTCTGATCAACAAACATCCATTGGGTCATGACACATTGGGCATAAGTTCTGCCTTGTTTGATCAGTTTTTCAAGAAATATTTCTTTAAATTCATGTTCAGGCATTGTCCCACAAACGGTGGGTGCACTTGCTACGTCCATATTCACAGCTGCCAATCCTAGAAGAATACTACAACTGATAGCGTGATAATTGCAGAAAGATCGTATGTTTCTTCCACTGCATGGAGCCGTAGTGGAGCCTTCGAGCAGTAGCGGATCCCAGTTTGAACTGCCGTCGGGCTCGAGAGAGATAAGGATGTTCGGGCCAAGGTGAGGATACGCCAGCCGAAAAATGGAATCATCAGGAAGTCTCAAGATGGTTAATTTGTTAGGGTCGAAGAGGTAGCGTGACGTTTCCTTTGGCTCCAGCAGAAGCCGATCGAACGTGATAGATGACATGTTGGTTTTCAATGTATGGAGTGATCAATAAGAGAGAATGTCAACAGTCAAAAGTCAAAAGTTGAAAATCGGAAAGGTAGAAGTGTTCAGGATATTTTATACTGGCGGGGTCACATCGCCACTTCCCTCGCGATTCGACCGTCGACGAACGACCGACCTCGTCGGTGCTTAGTCATCGTTCCAATATGTCATCGGTGAGGCCCTGGAAAGGAAGGGGGTGAAGAGGTGGGGAAGAGTCTAGACCGAAATGGGAAAATCGATGATGAAACGTCATTCTCGTCGTCTTCTTCCCCTTCGGAACACGATTTTCCCATGACGCGTAATCGACCTCGTTACTTGGTAAAAAGGTGTGATAAAGAGGTTAAGCGTAAGATCCGGCCGAGGGGAACGAGCCAAAGTCAAACATAGATAGACTAGACGTGAAGTGTAAATTCTTTCCTAATCTAGATTAAAAAGGATGAGATCATGAATGGATCAAGTCGAAACTTGATTCTTCTTCTTCGGTCTATACTCCGGGGGAGTGGTTGATATCGTTCCTTCTTGATCTGGAGATATTACACGTTTGGAAAACTCGAAAGGTGATAAGAAACGTCAAGAATATCTTTTGAATCATTTGTCTCAAGTGGTCAAGAGTGGAATATATGGTTCGGTATTCTGATCGTATGTATCGACGAATACTATATCAATAATGTAGTTGGTCCGATTTTCCCACTTTATTCCTACCCGTCCTCATGTCTTCGTTCTTTTTCAAATTTTGGCTGAATGACATAGAGGGTGATTCTGTCAGGATTACGGGTACCTGTAGACGGGTTTCTCAAGAGTCGTACGCAGAAGTCGTACTCCACCTACCCGTTCCCGTCCCCGTCTCACTAATCCCGCTACGGCGTCCTCCGTTCTCCTGTCCTACCTAATCGTTACTTCTTTACCATGCTATACTTTTTCTTCATCTCCGTGTCCTTCATCTATCTCCGTCTTCCTTCGCTCTTACACCCCATATCGCTTTCCACATTTACTCCGTAGATTCGGTATCACTCCGCTCCCTTTTTAGTATATAGAAACATCCCTTTTTCGTAGATGTCTTGTCGAATGTATTTTCTCGTCACTTAGCAAATCTTTTGCCACTTGATCTCATCGACTTATAGTCTCTTCGATCCACTACATCACTTGACTATAAACTACATCACTAGGTTTGTTCCCTACGAGGCCCTATAGCCATAGCTCATAGACGCAGACTATTTTCAACGTCTGGTCCTGACAGATTCCCTCACCTACATGATTGGTACTCGTACTGTGATTATCCGTGTCCTCGAGAGTGATTCTTCCAGAAGCCAAAGTTCTCCGTGGAGTGACAGTAATCAACAGTATCATTGGTTTCTCGTCCTTTTCTCTGGAGTGTCAGGTATAGGTAGGTATAATCATCAGGTGTCGCGTGCAGATGAGGGTCCATTTGAGGGAGGACGGTTCGATGTGAGGTGAACCATACGAGGTTAATCATTGGCGGTGGCACGGGTTGTTACTGACAGGCTTGATCAGCGTGTGATAGAGTGAACCTTTGAAGATCTCGAGATGAAAAGTATCAACCATTTGCTTTCTCCGAAAAAGCGTACCTACAAGAATCAGTGACACATTCGAATGAAGGGTAGGGAGGAACATACAAGATGGTCGCTCTCTCTCTCTCTCCCGTTGATATCATTACTGCTTTTCCTGAATCTTCGGCTCTGCCTTACCTCTGCTTATCTTCTTACAAAGTCTGTATGTTTATTGTCAGGTATGGTGATAGTTATCTATGTAGAGTCGGTCGAAGTGGACGAGGTGAGGTGGAGGTGACGGAACCAAGTCACGTGATATTTCGAACTTGCGAAATTCATCTCCATCTTCACTCAAATCTCGTTCAAATTCAGTTTCCTCCTTATATAACTCTTCGTCATACTAGGTATATACCTCTTATTCGGGCGTTCTATTCAGAGATATATCAGACCGGCTAAAGTGTCAGGTGGAATCGCCATAGGAGACGCTTCTTTGACCGAGCTGTAGAGTCAAGTCCAAGTGTTATCAGAGGTGTAGCTTCGAGCCAGAGCATTTGTGGATTATCTACAAAACCGGAAATATATCACTTGTAACCTCTTCGAACATCGTCATCTCGTTCTAACAACAAACACCAAAAGATGATTATGGTATCTTCAAATACTATTAATACCTTCAATGGGTTGAGGATAAGAAGTAGTGGGTTGCGGATTGGAAGTAGTGGGGTGAGGTTAAGAAGTATTGGGTTGAGGATAACCAAGGTTTTTCCCGATAACCTTCGGAAAGCTAGGTATGTGTGTTTCGTAAACCCTATTAGACAATTCGACTTATCATTCCATCACCTAACTTCTCATCTTTCATTTTTGGTCCCTTTCTGGAAATTCGTATGATCGCTGAACGTCGAATGAGATGTTAGAGGTTAAACATTGTATGATCAGTATGGAAAACGATGCAGTTGGGACACATGTAGGTTTAAACTGACTAATCAGTTCCTCAACGAGTTCAATAACCAACGGAGCAATTTTAACCTTCCCTCCTCCTTCTCGACGAAATACCCCACATTCTCAATCTCTTAATCATACCCCACCATCAATATCTCCCAATTCCAACTCCAACTCCAACTCCAACTCCAACTCCATCTCACCCTCAAACATCCTTGATAATCTCTCTTCAACCCTCCCCCACTCAACCTCATCAAGTCTTCATGATCATACCAAATCAATCAAACACAGCGAAATATCATCAAAAGAAAGAACCAATCATCATCTTACATCAAATGAACGAAAGAGAAATAAGATACAAAGTGAATTAACACATATAGCAACATTAACATTATCTTCTTCTCATCCATATACCCTAGATCTTTTCTCACAATTCGCTCAATCTTCAGCTAATTCACTATCTTTATTAACTTCCATCACACCACTCCCGACTACTAAAGAATTACATACGGTTTTGAAATCTCCTTTTGTGATGAAGAAAGCTCAAGAGAATTTCATGCGTAAGACTCATAAAAGGATGATTAAAGTTTGGAATGGTGATAGAGTGGTCGTTGATTTATGGAGTAGGTATTTGAAGGAAGGGGCTATAGGTGGTGTTGGGATGATTTTGAAGGTTAATGAGTTTGTAGAGTTTGATAAGATGAAAGAGGTTGTTGGGGATGTGGAGGTGGAAGAGGTCGTGGGGGATGTGGAGGTGGAAGAGGTCGCTGGGCATGTGGAGGTGGAAGAGGTCGTGGGTAGTGAGAGGGTAGGAGAGGTTGAGGTTCAAGGAATAAAGGAGGTCGTGGGGAATGAGGTGGGTGAGGTGGGTGAGGTAAGTGAGATCGAATCAATGGGGAAGGTTGGACAAGAGATCAAGGTTGAAGCGAATGGTGGAAAGGTTGAAACTCAAGAGGTCGTTTCTGAAGAGAATGACGAGGTCAGGGATGGGGGAGAGGCGGAGGTGGTACAAGAGGTAAAGTCGGTTGAGGATATTGAGGAGGTGAAGGCGACGGAAGAGGTTGGGAGTAAAAAGTAGCATATATCATCGATGAAAGGTATGAAATGTGTCGTTGGATCAATTCAAAGTGGTATGCAACGAAATCCCCTATGACTTCCTCATCTCTCATTCCGTAGACCATTCCCAAAATAAACTGAACAATCATCTCATCAGCTACTTATCAAGATAAACAAGGTCAGACGACAAATACTTGAGAAACGGTAAAGATCTACAAAACAAGTGAATTTGAACGTGGTCGGAACAACTTCCAACTGGAGTATTCGTTTTAATACTCTGACAAGAATTGCATACACTATTTACATCTATCATAGCCGGTGTTGGTCATTTCCTCGATGCCGATCCTATTCATTCACTCATTCCCACCCACACCCCTTCCCCATTCAAACCTCTTTCATTCCTTCCCAACATACCCATATTCCAATGTGACCTCGGGCGATGATGGGAAAAAACGAACGACGAAGTATTATCAGGATTACAGATAACAAGGACTGTTGGTGTAGAAGATAGCTTGAAACCACTGAGGTAGAGAAATCATAGTGAAGAGTAGAGAGGATGATATACCGTACGGAGTGGGAAAAGGTAGAAGTACGAGGAAAAAGATGGTGAAGGGAAACGAAAAAGTAAGAATGAAAAAATTATTCTAAGTCAACCCTCCTTCATCTTCTTCCAAAGCTTTTTTAATCTTTAACAATATTGCAGTTTTCCAATTATCTAACTTTGTTACTTGATCATATTGATATACCGCAGCTGTATATCTTTCAACGTCACCTTGTTCACATGCGTCCATTAATTCATGAGCGAATTTGGATTCGCGGGTGGAAGGGAATGTGACGTCTTTGGTGGAGAACGTTTCGAGTAGACGTTGACAGAGTACTAGGTCCTGGAAATCAGCTACTGTTGATGGGGTAGTGGAGTGGATGGGGTGATATGGTATTTAGTTTCAAGTGTGAGGTATGGACAAGGAGTTATTTTGGGAGGAAGGTGCGATAATGAAATGAAAGATACGTTTGATGAAGTGATTGGATATTAAGCGTAAGAGATGGTCATGAGGTATACTGGAAGAAGAGATTGCATTCTAAGCGCAAGAGGTGGACACGAGGTATATTGAAGAGATGATTTGATATCGAGCACAAGAGATGAATATAGAAAGGCAGGTATCAAAGAACGGTTCACGCAATATTGGGATAGATACGGGGAAAAGAAACAAAGACAAAACAACCCACTCCCATGGCCATAGAACACATACAAGCTCTCAACCAGTATTCTTTCACTGAATATTTCGTCAAAGCACTTGTTAAACTCCAATCCGCAACAGTTTGATACAACTCCATTGATCTTTTGAAATCTTGTAAATCCGCAGAAAGTTCGGCGGCTTGTTGATAACATTGATTCGCAGTACTGGATCATGAGTGATCGTTCGTTTTCTTTTTTTCCTTTTTCAACAGGGCTTTCGAACACTCCCCGAGTATACTCTATTTCATATCCGTTGAGGAACGCTCAACCGACACCAGCACGAGCGACCAGTACTTTGTGATTGTGCCACAGTATACTGAAACGACTTGACGTGGGGCATGCAATCGCACTGTTTGACCTGGTCGAACCACTGGAGACATTGCTCGAATTTGTGATATTGGTTGTGCTTTCTCCCCCTACACTCGTTCATACGTAGAGGTGAAAAGACCCAGGTGACCGATCCCCGCCTTTGTGCAGTACACGCTGTGTTGACTCGCGCAAACAAAGATTTGTACTGAAACGCTCCAGGAGAAGGGAAGATGGATGGTAAAGGCGTAACTCACGCATTCGCATCTTCTTGTTTGTACCAATCCCCCGCTTGAACAAAACTATCTCTGGCTTTGGCGATATCCAACCCGTCTTGAGCGTAGATTCCGGCGATCTGACATCAGTATCAGCAACGTTGTTCAATCAGGATTACGACGCGAACACGTCAAAAAGCCATCTGCTTAGTTTTACGAAGAGCTCGTAGGCTTACGAACCCTGGATAGTAGAAAAGTAACGCGAGAGCACCGAAATATCATCCAGTTCGAATAACACAGCATCTTTCAGAGACAGTCGCGGTGATGATGCCCGAATGACAGGCGCGAGTAAGGGATCACCCCCCAAAAAGACAGAGGGTAAGATTGCAGAGGTAGACCAGAACACACCTCTTTTTCCCTATCGGCGGCTTGTCGAAAGTTACCAGACTTGACCAAGAGTTTGATACATTGATGTAAGGCCGTCACAGCGGCTACAGAGTCAGTAAATTCTCTCATGAGTGTCTCAAAATCGTCTTCCTCCTTGGTGAATGTTTGAGAAGAGACAGAGAATAAAGTGCCAGGTGGTACTGTCGATTGCGGGGGTGAGGTAAAGATTAGTCAAAAGACGGCAAGATCATAGTAGGTTATTCGAGGACGTGTATACGGGGCACATGGCAAGTATGTCAAAAGCAGAAAAGTGCTGAAACTCACCCTCTGGATTACTCTTTTTATAACTTTTAGCTGCATTATGCCAAGCGTTAATCTCATCGTTGGATTCACCAGCTTTGTTCCTACATGCTGCTTCTCTACTGCATCAGTCTTTCGTTTTTTTCACAGGATACGACTCCGGCAGTGGTACCAGGCAACCTGCTCGGATACAGGGATTGCAAACACGTAATCAGCGGACTACAAGACGACGAAAGTGAGTTCCGAAGGTGAGTTCCGAAGGTGAAACGACCAAACGTATTGTTATGGGAAAGGTTGATACGATAATAGTCGAGTGGAAGGGAAGATCTCAAGATAAAAAGAGGCGACATGGACTGACCGTTCGAAAGCAGCACCTGAATCGCTCCATCTACCTTCTACCTTGTATGAATTTGCCGCCTGTCATAAGCTACTTCCTGTGACCAGTTCACATAGTTCAATTGCCTCCAAGTGTTCCATTTCCCCTTTATCTGGTATGTCGCCATACCTTCAGTCGCTAAAGTCTGTCTAGCATGGGTGTGATCTTGAGACGATTCCACGATATGGTGGCGAGTTTCCACCCTTGCATATAACACCCCCATCCCAAGCATCCTACGGAACACTGATACGAGTGAAAGGAGAGGCAGCGCGGGTGGAGAGGAACATTTAAAACCCACTTGAGCGAACAAATCACCAGCTTCTTCCCATTTCTGACTACTACTGCCGAACCAACCAGGTGAAGAAGTTGCCTTCTTTTCAGCTTTTGCTAAAATCTCATCGCCCGGTGATTTTCCCATTGTACTTTATTGTATACTATGTCTTTTGGTGCGTGGCTTCTTCTATGTGATCTCCACTGTAGTAGGGTATCTGTATGGTTGGATTGAGTGATAATGGTGCAAGTATAGAGATGGTGGTGAAGGTGAGGGTTGGGTGGATGGATGGTCGATGACGCTGCCCGGTGGGTGATGTGAGCGGGATCAAATTCGGGTAAGGAACGGGATCAAATTTGGTGTGATGACTAAGCAATACTTTCTCTTTCAACCTCTGCTCGCTCTCTACTTTTACTTTTCTCACTCTCGCCGTTCATCTCAATACACATCGCACGCTATTTACCTCCAAAGATCACGGAAGTCGAGTAGAGTGAGAACAACAGAACAACGCTGTAGACAGTCAAAGAGTGGGAAAAACGAGAGTGTGAAACGGAAAGATGGCTTCTCATCTAGCGAACATCTTGTGAGTCGAGTGTGTCTAGTGTGGACATCGGAACGCTGACGAATAGTGGGACAGAACAGGATAGAGTCAATTGTTCTTTTTACTTGAAAATCGGTGCTTGTAGACATGGTGATCGATGTTCTCGGTGAGTCGTCTATTCATCTTGCCCTCGATCACCTCTCTCCGTCACTATCCCAGTCTTCTCCTGCTCGTTGTACCTCTCTCCATCACTCTCCCACTTTCATTTTACTCGTCGTGATTTACCGGAGGAGAGAAACGGTCGTCACTTCAACTCCAAGTTTTGTTCCAGTCAGTGTGAAAGTGATATTCTGTCTTCTCTGGAATTTGAATATTGTGCTGACCCGTAGAAAACATATCAAACCTCAATTCTCAAGCACTATACTCTTACCTAACGTATACAACAACCCGGCTCATACTCCCGAAGGACAGAACATGACACCAGAACAATTACAACAGAATTTTGATAATTTCTACGAAGATTTTTTCATGTGAGTCTCTCTCATTTTCTTGTCATTTTCTCATGATCTCATACTCTCGTCAGTTCATCCGCCCCCTCCCAGTCCATCTCTCCCTTCTCTTTTTTTGTCCAACCTCTATGCTCCCGTACTCGCCTTCAGAGTCACCGTCTAACATTATCCTTCAATGGATGCCATACAATCTTCCCTTTTCTTTCATTGTCACATCACCCAATTATCTCCGATCACCCGAGTCTCACCAACTTGCTCAGGAAATCCTACGTGGGCACCTTCCTAATCCATCCCATATGCCTCTCCACTTTTTGGGATTGCCTGAAGAATTTCTCTTCGTATAGGCTGTGGGAAATAAATCCAAGTGCCGAACCGTCGACTATGATATGAACTCGAAGACGCATGACGCTGACCCCACAGCGAACTATGTAAATACGGAAACCTTCAAGAAATGCACGTATGCGATAACGTCGGTGATCATCTGATGGGAAACGTTTACGCAAGATACGAATACGAAACTGAAGCATCAAAAGCTTGTGACGCATTAAACGATAAATGGTACGCTATGAAACCTCTAATGGCTGAATTATCACCCGTCAGTGATTTCAGAGAAGCTTGTTGTAGGCAGAATGAAATGGGTGAATGTGTTAGGGAAGGGTGAGTGAAATGTTATTTTTTTTCCCCTCAACTATTTCCAACAATATCAATCTTCTAACTACCCGGTCTACTCAACCAAACATACCCATACCACATTTCAGAGAATGAATGACCCCCCTCATCTTAGATTCATATTTAAAAATCAACCCACACAAAACATGTCATAAAAGATGGAGTGATGAATCACCACTGACCATTATCAGTTTCTGCAACTTTATGCACTTATGTCATCCTTCGAAATCACTAGTATCATCACTTCAAGCATCTCAACGTCTTTCAAGAAGACGTAATGCCAATAATGGAGGTACGGACGATCAAGATTTAGGTTGGACACCTAGTGTAGCGGCGGTAGGTGAATGGAGACCTGGTAAAAAAGTTGATGGACCAAGTTGGAGAGATGTACATTAGTATTTTCTTATAAAAACCTTGATTGTTCTATGGATGAGAATGCATTTGATGTTAGCTATGGTTTCATCATAAGTTGGGCTTTGTTGATGAAAATTGATTCATATTCTCTTTTTGTCATACTAGTACGAGTACTGATGGGTTTGAGATCATGTATTGCAATGTTTTCCGTTATACTGTACAAGTATGATGAATATCTATTACTGTATGACTATCTTCTCGGGGTATCACTCATACGTGTTGATAGCATTCGTACAGTAACTATTGATGAATATCCATTGTAGTAAGATCATCACAGTAAGACTAACAATGTAAATCATTTGTAGAGTATAGTATATATTCGTTGATTAATCTTACAAGTGTAAGTCTTAAATTACCTAGTGTCTTACATCTCAGAATGTGTAATGATTAAATAAAGTCATCAGTTCCAAAGTTCAAAGTTGAAACAAGATCAAGACTGAACGGCAGAACGGTAGAACGATCAATGATTTGTTAGTAAATTGACGGTATGACAAGTATATATGTATAATTGAGGGGACAAATTCAGTAAAAATCAGTAGAAGAAGGGAGAAGATGATTTTGCATGCATGAAATTTAAAACAAGAGACAACCCTACAACAGTAGTAAGCTAAAAGACGAGAAAAGTGAAATATAAAAGAGGATGAATGAATGATCTTCAAAGTTTGACCATTGAGAATATCCAGTGGAAAATCATAGTGATACCCAGTGAATCATCCCATGGCCATGAACAGTGTGAAGAGAATAGAATAAAAGATTGAGTGATAGAAGTTAAGTTTTGGAGGATGTGATATTTACGAAACGAAGTTTCAATTATAGTTGTGGAAGAACATGGATGAAGGGTGAATTTGAAAGAATAATGAGTCTATCACTTACTTACAAGTACCTCTCCTTTCTAATCAGAATTTTCATAGGCAACTTCGTTTGCTCGTTCTTCCCACATTTCTGTCTAATGAGTAACTTCGACATTCGGTTCTTCTTCTTCCTCCTCCGATTCATCGTTCGAACCCGACTCATCACTCGACTCATACGACCCAGACCCAAACCCGAACCCGGATCCGGATCCGGACTCAGATTCGACATCTTCTCCTCCACTTCCCACCTCATCAGAATTCACAGGACTACTAGGTATACCTAACTCCAAACCAATAAAATCCACTTGATTTTCGAAAGCCTCCACGTTGACGTTGACCCTATTCTCATCTTCCATACTGGGAACTCGATCATTTCCCATCGATTCTATAGATATTGAAGATTGTAGTGAGTTTTCAAATTGTGATAGCGCCGGAATGGGTCGTTTGTCCAGATTGATGGTCGAGTCTTTTGACCTCGTTTCAGTAGAATCGACGAGTTGTTTAGTCGAGGTATTACCTCTACCCGTCGATCTGAAAACATGTCTTAATCCACATTTCCCATTCTTTGAACATTTTCCAGTTTTCCTCCATTCTTCACATTCCCAAATATGTAAATCACCACATGTACCTTCGACTTTATCACACCATCCGTCTTTTGCGAAAGCTTCACATACCGGAGCGTCAGGGGATACTTTGACGTGGGGATAGAGACAATTGGGGTTTTTGCATGAGGAAGTAGCTTGGAAATGTAGACATGATGGGGTGTTGTGCGCTGATGGAGTGTGGGAGAGAGGACAGGAATTGGGTGGGTAAGGACATGATGAACGGAGGAAAGATGGACAGATGGATAAACGGTTAGGGATGTGTGCGTAGGGACATGTGAGGGCGCGAGAGCATGAACCTGGGTGATGAATCGGGTGTCGGAGATGAGGGTGAAGGTGAGGGTGGGGGAAAGAGAGATGAGTTAAACCAAGGGCATGGAGACAGTTTATGACATGAACGCGGATAAGAGGGGGAGTTTAGATTGGGATAATGGATTAGAACGTGACGTATATGTTCAGGATTGAGTAAATGGAACATGTCAGTAAGACGTGATAAAAATTGTCAGTGGCGATATCGAGCAAGGGTGGGACGAGAGGGAGGATAAAGGAATGAAGGGGGAGAAGCATAAAACAAACAGAGACGAGACAACACCGCAACACCAGAAAACCAATACGCGTCAGTCTTTGCCCCTCCAGAAATACCCCACCCACCCGTCTTGGTATAATACCTGCAAGGTTTCTTTGCCAATTCGGCACTATCATCAGCTTGACTCCATCTCCTCCTGACCCACAGCTTCTTGCCGCCCAGATCATACCAGCATGCCCAGAGATGCAACTACCAAAGCATTCTTCCTCAACGAAGCCTCGAAGCAACACAAAGAAATAGTCAGAGGGATATATGGAAGACTACGACTCACCGACGTGAAGTAGATACCAAATTCCCTTTCGAAGTCCTCCTATATTTCTGTCCGTCATACCTCACTGACCTTCTAGTGGGTGTATTTGGTCTTTTCCTACTGGAAGAAGATTGCGAGGATTGCGAGTCAAGTTCTGCTATGTCAGCTGGGGCAAGCAGCAGCGAAGCTGACTTACCACCTATCCGAACTAATTTCTGACCACCTTCGTCAAATTGAAATATGACACCGTCTATCACGACTCTCCGTTGGTCTGCCGATGAGGAGGAGGGGGGAGTAGAAGTGAAGATCTGGATCTGGGGTGGGATCCGGGGATGTCTGTGTTTAAGTTGTCGGGGTTTGGATTTGAGTTCTTGGCTGAGAGTCAGTGGCGTTCTAGATCATCCCAGGGTTGTATCATTCAGGAGTGACCAAACACTCTCAGACGACAAAAAGTGTGGTAGTGAACAGAGATTGAGAGCAAAGAATGATGACAGCTGGAGGTTGTTATGATGACCCACCTCTTCTCGACAGTCATCAAGCTCATATTCCCTTTCTTACTAGTTTTGGTGACCCAATTCTGTTCTCCGAGGTCGTCTACTTTATCAAGCATCTCCTGTACAACCTCACCAGCTTCAAGTTCCACCTTCTTCCTCTCGTCGCCTTCGTCCGGTATCTTCACGCCATTGGCGGGAGCCAGAGCTGGAGGTGTCGCGCGAGTCAGACTGTTGGTCTCCATCTTATTCTGCTTCACAGCCGGCTGGACGAGCTGATTCTTCCCTCTGAGATCCAATCCGTGGGTTGAACCTCTCCCCCGGAAGCTTCCCCTCCCTCTGATACTTCTACCAGTATATGGGTGATAAGACACCGGGTGAGGTTTGGCTACATGTCTCGATATGGCGCCTATGAGTCAGGCTCAGTCGGTCTACCGGAGCAAAACGAGCTGAAGGGGAGGAAAGAAGAGCGACTGACCTGAGAGCCTGGCTATTTCTTGTTCCATCAGTAGCTTATGCTTCTGTGCGTCTGACATAGTGGGCATGGTGGGGTGAGGGTATAGGTGTGTATGGTGTAGTAGGTAGAGAGAGGTAGAGTTGGTTGTGAAAGGAGTGGGTGGGTGGCAAACGGGGAATAGTTGTTTCGGTATTTGTTTTGAGTTAATCCCAAACACTAGCACGATGGTCCGTGCGCCGATGGTGACATTGTGCTAGTGGCGATCGACACCCCCACTTCATTCCGAAATTTCTTCTTCTTCTCCTTCTCTTTCCCTTCTCTTCTTCCCTACACACAGCTCTCTCTTCCTTCATATATATACGCACCCCTCTTTACCCCCATACAACCTCCCCCAACACCACAGAACATCGACCCCAAGCATGTTCTTCTCAGACGACTTACTCACAAGTAAGAAAGGATCGTGCGTCTTCTCTTCCCCCACCCTGCTCTCACTGACATGACAGTTTCGGTATCATCTGGTAACTCCTCTTATGACTCCCTCTGACCATACTGATTCCAGGCTCATAGCGACTCTCGGTCCGAGAACAAAGAGGATCACCCGCAAGCAATTATCGAATATCGATCTCACTAGAACATGTGACCTCATCGCTCAACCTCCCGAGCCCATGGCTCTGCGCCTTAGCAGCTGTCTTCTTGTCGGTGTTGCGAGGTGAGCCCAACCCAGTCTTCGGCACTACTTCCAGCTTACTTGAAGGGTACATAGTCAGAACTATGAAGTCTTTTACTCCGTATGTTCTCCTCTGAGAGTGAAGCTGACCGGAAGGACGTGACACAGTTTCACACGGCTTTGAACCGGGCCATTCTCACGGATACCACCACCACGGCTTCAGGCGGGACAGGAGGTCTGGACATTCCTGGCGGGGGAAAGAGCAGGTTTGTAGCTGACTGGATGATCCTGGGCTGTCTAGCTAAGATACAGGATCGAGCAGATCACGTACGCTGGAGTGGATGTCGCTTGGCATAGTACCTTCGATTTCAACTTCTTCGACTTGGTCAGTGTTCCATCCAGCTTCCTCTCAACTTTCTCTCGACCTCCATCAGACATGCACGCGCCTTCACAGTACTACGTGGTGGGAAACAGCCAGGTCTGACCTTCAGGAGTGGTGCGTTCCATCCGGGGGTAAGAAGAGAAGATCGACGCCCAAACTCTCCTCCCTCGGCACGCAAGAAAGCAAAGATGTGGAAGAATCAGGGGAAGAGAGTGAGGATGACGACGATGAACCGGATCCTCCACGAGTGGATAAACGTCGTAAAGGTGAGGGCCTCGTATGTCGATCAGAGTAAGGATTGACGCAATAGTCACCTCTTCTCCCGGTCTAGGACAGGCTCGTGATCCTACTCGACTCCGACCATCGCTATACGAAGTCCGATCCAGTCAAAACCTTCTCGCCGATCTGGAATTCCCAATTGGAGAGGAAATTGACCTGAATCTCAACTTCGATGACCCAAGTTTCAGCGCGCCTTCAGGAAGGGGTATGGTGTTACCCGCTGATGACGTTGAGATGGGTCTGGTTGGTGATCAGCTGAACATGGAGTTTGGGGAAGATCTGTGAGGTGTTCACCATTTGGAGGGGTGTCGAAACTGATCTAGGCAGCCAACCCAATATGCATTCTACACCTCGTAAGTGGAAGTCTGTAAAACATATCTCATCGGTTAGCTCCGCAAACGCCCCGACACACCGATGGTAGTCGGGTAAAAAGTGCACTCAAGGGAAACAACGAAGCCATTAATCCCGATCAATCGTTAGAGGACATCGAGCAGGTTCTCGAGGAACGTCCCAAGAAGGCAAAGATCATGAGGAAGGTCCGATTCGACGTGGTGAGCTGTTTCTTCGTGGTCGATGGTATATTAAACTGACTGCAGAACTTGGAGCTCGGTCAGGAACAATTAGATGCCTGTCGGCGTAACTATGGGTCGTCCATGGCGCGAGAGAGGGAGGACCAAATGCAAAAAGAAGACGAGAGGCGTGACAACAACCTGGCTTTGATTCTGGCCAACAGTGCGGGTCTCGTACCAATATGTAAGCTTTCCCTCCCAATGCCATCTCGGAAAGCTCACGAGCAGTTTACGAAACAGAATTACAAGATTTGTTCATTAATATCGCCAAGGTTGAACGCTTTAAGTGGGAACGAGATCTCTCTGCCCAAAAGGCGGGCAAGAAGTATGTTCCTTCCAACGAAAATCAGGAGAAAGATCCTGCAGATGTGTTTGGACCCTATGGTCAGATAGGACCGACAACTTTCGAGGAGGTAAGTGTTTGAGTCACGTAACACGGCTTGAAAAGCTGAGACCTGACATAGCCAAGTTATCAAGAGGTGAGCGCATGATATCTGATTGAAGAGAGACATTGATGGGCAGGTGTATCACGATTACGAAGAACCTGTTCATTCCCGACCTCTTCGACCCCCTAGTCAAGTAAGCTGACGGTAATGATGCAGAAGATTACCAGCTGACTGACAGGATTTCGAAGTGGAAGCTGGCAGAAACGTCAGTCAGGGTAGTCAACAAGTCATTCTTCCAGTGAGTTGGTCCAACGCTGCCTCATAAATCAGCCCTGACCAGATAGTGGGCGGATACTTCTTTCAGTGATGGCGGGATGCCATTGGGGGATACGAGCTTCACCCCTGGAACCAGTATCCGGAAACTGAGCGTCATGACGCCTCTCGAACAGCGGTCAGTTTATGACTTCCGGATTTCTCCTTTTCTATCATCTCGTCTACCACGCGCGGATTGTAGAAGACTCACTGACAGTCAGTATTCGTCAAGGATCGATAGCCAGCGACGCTTCCAATCCCCGATACAGACGTTCTTCCTCCGTCTTGGCCGACCGTGGGGTTGAACCCCGAATGTTGGGTGAGGATGATCTGGAGTGTGAGTGTGTTGTTATTCACATAGAGTCCAGGATTAACAGACAGTGCCTCAATTGGACCTCGATGTGGAAGGGCTGGACACTCAGAAGAGTTACTCAGGTTTGCCAGAGGCGTTCAGACCGGAGATGTTGGCTACTTTGGAGAAACAGTGTCGCGACTTTTTCAGGTGGGTAGGAGCGTGATTTTGTATGGCATTCCTCTTTCCCCACTGATCGGATCTGGGGGTGATCCTTGTCATGAACAACCTCGAAACGCGTTCACTGAAGGTCATCTTACCTTCGTTCAGCATCGACTCCACACATTCCTCTGTCCAAAGGTTTGACGCAATTCATTTCTTGCCCTCGAAGAGTTATCACTCACAACCTGACCATCCTCGTCTCTCCCTCCATCCGGACTCTCTCCAGGGACCCATCGTTGGATCATTTCACTTTATGTAATATAGACGTCGCGCGTCTTCACGCAGTTTCCAGTCAGGTCTTGTTGAGACGTGAGCTGATGGCAGCTTTGTCGAGACTAAGATGATCGAAGTCGACTCGGATCAAATCACTTTTGGAGATGTTTCCCCTCGGGGTATCAAGAAACATGTCGCAGCGTTGGCTTTCGTACGTTGTCCCCTTCTCCCGTTTTTACATGATCCCCGTTTTGGTACTTCCTCCTTTTCTTCGACCTAACAGCTTCCTGTCGTGTGTTGTGGCCACATTTGGCACGTTTTCCCGGGCACATGTCCTTCTACCTTCGTCCATCGGCCCCGGACTCGGTACGCTGATTCGGTTGCGTGAAACTTGAATGCGAAGAGGTACTGACATCAGTACAACTGTCTCAGTAAGTCTGGCTGAGCTCGTTGATTGCTAGTGAGCTGAACATTGAGCTCTTGCCACTAAACACATCGTCCGTGTGGTGCAAGAAGTCGATTATGGCGGTTTTGTCATCTCCTTCACTGCTCAGGCATGATATCGGTACACATCAAGATAAATCAAGACCTCCTGTCATGTCCCGCCATCCTGTTCGGTGAATCGACCAGGTGGTTACCGTGAATAGAACGTGGACAAGTCTCTGAATGACGAGATTTGTGACTTAGAACAATACCATTGCCATGCTCATGTGTTGTACACAAATTTCGTTGTCAATAGGATCACTCCATGTTGTAGATAAAATCTCATGTGTTGTAAATATGAACACCCATGTTGCCAAATGATCTGAATCCCATGTCTGCAAGGTGATTCAAACGTTGGATCTTTGCGTGACCACATTGAGTTAGTATGGATCTTACATTGGTATGCAAGCGAGACCGGGAAGATGCATCAGCAAGTGTCATGACCGGGTAGCTAAGGCCGGGATCATAAACCGTCCTAAAAGGCTCAATATCAACTCTGCTGGTGAGAATTGATCTTGCTATAAGTACTGATTGTGACAGCAAGTGAAGGTGAGAGGTTAGTCGTCATTCATCTGTATACAATAATCATGAGTAAACTTTTGATGTAAGATGAGAACAAGACAGAGTTTAAGATGATAACATATGACTTTGAATCAGACAGATAGTGGTAAGAGTGTCACAATCGTCGTTTCTTCTTCTCTACTGACCGACGGTCGACAAACCTCGGCTAACTTTGTTGAACTAGGGTGTCGATGTCTCACTGAGACAGGGTACTCGTTGAGGAACTACAGCTAACTTCGCCGTAGTGCGTCGAACTGCTGGGTGGTAGCTCTCCTTAACTCAAAGGTGTAGCTACTGAATATATCTCTCGCTACTGACATGAACTTCTTCAGCAATCTGTAAACTATCTATACTTCTCCTCTCCTCTCATAGAACATCCTTCAACTCCTGTACAGCCTCGTGCTCAGTCCTCTTTGCTCAACTTCGTCGTACCTCGCCATATCCCCCATATCCTACTCGGCTTACTTCGACTAACTTCACCTAACTTTGCCTACTTCGCCCACCCTGCTCTCCCTCAGTTTCTTTCTCCTAAGTTCACCGCAGTTCTCCGTCAGGCGGGGTTGTTGTGACGAATAATCCCTAGGTTCTTGTAACTTCGTTGTAGTCGGTCTCAGTGGTTCAGGGTGATGGTGAAAGGAGGGTCGGTGATGTTAATTGTCAGGGATGTCACGACATGGTTCGTGACAAAGAGGTATTATGGGATGAATGGAAAGACACATTCATTCATTGCATTGCATCAAACAAATGTTACTACTTACTGTATATTCATATACAAAATGAAAATCACCATGAATCAGATTTGTATGTCATAATCATCTTTGTGATCCTCAGGATTGTCATCAAAACAATTTAATGGAAGGGTGATTGGATCTCCAGAAATTGTATCTCCATCCACCCGAGTGAAAATTGCAGATCTGAATATTAATACCCGTCTGACAAAATGGTTATTACTTTTATTTCAAATCCCCATTGAGTCTGCAAAACAGACAAAAATGTAAACAAAGTTATGAGGTTTAGGTGAAATGAAAAGAAAAGAAGAACAATAGAAAGTATTTAAAAACTCACTTTCTAGTCCATTTTCCTTGCCATTGAACACATTTGTGACCTCTTTGAGCAGCTAGCTCCCCAAAGTGTGTAGTAGTAATATATGAGTATTTTTCACCATTACTACTTTTGTCAATTCATTAATTTAGCTTTTTCATTCTTACTTTTTGAAACCCCTTTCTTTGTAAAAAAAGGAGAATGACTAAAGTTCAATTCTTTCTTGGGGGGAAGGGGGAGATTGAACAAGATGATCAAAACATTGATTTGTGAACTTGGAAGTTCAACTTCAAATAAGAGATGATGGATTTAGAATGATTTTGTCCTGAGGAAACTAATGAAAAAGAAAGAAACTTACACAAGGCTGAAATCATGAGTGAAATCATTTTCATACCCAACAGAGTATCTTCCAACCTCCACAAAATCTCGGACTTTCCTTGAGATCTTTCTATCCTTATGAGGCTTTTCGAAAACACTCAATAGATCTAGAGTTTCTATATCAACATCCTTGGTTTTATCATTCTCAAAGTTTGAGATTTCTTCATTTGACATGTCTTCCTCCAACTCTGAGGAGTACGATTTGATTTGGGTGGTTATTGGTTTGGTAGGCTGTTCAAATTTAGACATCACAGGTAAATCCTCGTCAATTGATTCTGGCATGAATGTCGTACTTTGTAAGGTGGAGTTTTGTATGTAAGTATTGTCAACTGTTTGAGTAGGATCAGATTCTGTTTGTTCTGGAAGATTTACATGTTCAGTCAGGGTGAATGATAAAGATGAACAAAGATCATTAGGTACTGGGGACATTTCGTTTAGGTATTTATGTCACGTACTAGTAATTCAAAGATGAAGTCAAGATGGAAGTTTTTTTTAGATCAAGATGAAAGTTCTGTTGATAAGATTGATGTCACGGCCGTCGAATAACTTCTCTCCAATAGACCGACGGTCGACGAACCTCGGCTAACTTGGTGGTCCTAATTCGATGTCTCACCCAACCAGGAGGGCGCAGACGTCGAAAGGAGTGTAACTACGGCGTACTTCGGCGTAGTTACTCTAACTGGGATTTTGTTCTACTGATGGCGATGTATCTCGATTGTATATAGCTATCTCTATCTGTCTTTCACTACTGACAACAATCAAGGATCGCTGAAGAAGTTCAGCGATCTGTAAACTATCTATACTTCCCCTCTCTTCTCGTAGAACGTCCCTCAACCCCTGTACAGCCTCGCGCTCAGTCCCCTTCGTTCAACTTCGCCGTACCTCGCCATATCCCCGGTATCCTACTCCGACTAACTTCGCCTAACTTCCCCTACTGCACTCTCCCTCGGTTTCCTTCCCCTAACTTCGCCGTAGTTCTCCGTTGGTCGGGGTTGTTGTGACTAATAATCCCTGGGTTCTCGTAACTTCGTCGTAGTTGGTCTCAGTGCTTCGGGATGGTGGTGGATAGTGGCTCGGTGATAGTGAAAGGAGGGTCGGTGATGGTGGTTGTCAGGGATGTCACGACATGGTTCGTGACAGTCGCCCCCTCCTTAGGCGCGAACGTCCTCGTGAGCTTCGTATGCATGTAATGAAGAAAAAGACACTCAGCGGGTTGTAGGATAAACAATCACCCCAGGTACTGGTAGTTGGCACCGTAGGTTGCTGGTGATGAGACGGACTACTTCGTCGAAGTTCATCGTGGTTGTTTGTTGTTACCCGTGATAATCACGTTGTATGTGAGACAGGGGATTTGGTGTACATCAAACCTCGTCGAAGTTCGTCAGCGTATCCCTAACTTATATGAATGTGAGACACGTAGCGTGGGAATTTTGATCGTCGTCATGGTGTTTGTTGTCGCTGCGACACCTTGTGATGCGAAGTTACCAGCGCCTTGACGACGAGTCGTCGTGTTAGTTATACTAAATACTCAGTACTTCGGCCCACTTCTTCTTCTTCCCCAGTACTATTCCTAAATCGTACTATCATCATCTATCGATTCTCAGCCTTTACCTTACAAACCCTATCAATTTGATATATTTCCAACAATATGACCTCTCGATCGGAACTCGACGCCTACCGAGTCTTCGTAGAGCGCTTCACCTCTGCCCGTAAGTCCACTCGTGCTAGTAATCAGTTAGATCTTCGCTGATTATCTCAGTCTCTCAGCAGGGGAATTCCCCCCGCCAAGTATCGTCTATGGGTCTTGGGGCCCTCACTATCACCGATGGCTCGCCCTTCGTCGCGGGCCCTTCTGACGCCGGAGCCTCCGCTGTGGCTCCTTCCTCCGCCGAGTCCCCCATTGTGGCTCCGACTCCTCTCTCCTCTGGCCAACAGGAGGCCAGACCTGCTCCTGTTGGCCCTTCGCAAGCTTCGGGTCAGTCTGCTACTGTGGTGGAGATCGGTGATGACGACGAGGATATGGATATTGTTGATAGTGATGATGAGATGGATGATGTTGTTGATGGTGGGGAAACGGGTGGTGTAGATGATGGAGAAGGAATGGGCGATGTAGATGAGGAAACGTATGATGTTGATCTTGGTGACCAGGAATTGTTCAAGGATAGGGATGGTTGTTTGGCCGAGTTAGCGGCATTGAGTCGTACGTTCCCTGTTGCGTTACCTGTTCGTGAGTGCTGACATGGCCAGCTATTCGTGTCGTCGAAGGATCTCCCGAGCTTCGTGTGACGGTACAGAACTCCAACGGGAGGAAACGAGTAGCCTACATGGATAAGCTGGCCGAGGTGAAGTCCGAGAAACGTCGCCGCTCCCCTTCAGTCCACGGCGAAACCCCCCTCCCTTCGGCGAAACGGACCAAAGGTACTCGCAGTCAGCCTTCGCCTGACCTGGAGGAAGTGTTTCCCTCTTCCGCCAAGGAGCCAGGGAGTGCTCGTAAAACGTTGTTGCGGGAGCAGGAAAGATTATGGAAGTTGTTCGAGGACGAAAGGGAACGTTGGGAGGTCGCCAGTATAGAGGAGTCGTGTGATAGATGCCGGTAGGTTTTCTTCCATAGAGGTTTTATACATCTGCTGACCAATAGTCGCAAAATTATCACGTACGGGAGGATGAAGTGGCCGTGTTTACGACCGGTCAAACCTCGTAATCGTGGATTCCGTTGTGCTTCTTGCACTTCTGGGCCATGCTCGTTCTGTCCCCCCAACGCCGCTCGGGACATTCCCCCTAGATCTCCGTACACTCCGTCCACCGCTGTCCGCCGTCCCCTCCCCACAGGGCTAGACAGGGACTATCCTTCGCGCTCTCCTTCGGCGAACTTCTCCTCTTCCGGCCCTGCCTCGCCGTCACCCGCCGCCCGTCGCCCGCCTTCCTCTCCCGTGGCCGGACCGTCTCGTCTTCCTGCTACTCCCTCGGCAGGTTCCTCTCGTCGCACCCCTCGTCGTGCTCCTCTCGCCGTTAGTCGGCCTTCTACTCCTGTGGCCGGCCCATCTCGCCTCCCGGCTACTCCTTTGCCCGGTCCGTCTCGCCCTACCAGGAGCCGTCCTACTCCTGCCCCCACACAAGAGGACTCCTCTCTTAGTCTTCCTCCTGCCCTCGGAACCCGGAGCCGTCAACCATCTGTCCCTCCTGCTACTGGGCTCCCCACTCCTGCCCCTCCTGTTGAAACTCCTCCGTCGAAATCTTCAAAAGGGAAAGGTAAGAAGAAAGCCGTCCAATTCGAACCTGCGGTGGTAGAGAATGAAAGTACTCAGCTACCAGAGGAACTCCCTCCTCCCCTCGACCACCCCTATATTTCCAGCGACCCCCGAATTCCAGAGGAGGAGAAACAACTGGCCACTTTCCGTTCTCTCATTATTGGATTGACCACACATCTCCACGCCAATAGACAAGATACGGCGAAGCTCCTCGAATATTGCATGAAGCTGGTCTCTGGTATGAACACCCTCTCCCGGACAATGGCAACTCTCGTAAACTCCTCTGACATAGGCCCATTAGGGCGAACTGACTTAGCTAGAGTCTCCCGAGAGCTCCTGACGGAAATGAACGACTTCTACCGCAATCTCTTCGATTCTCCCTTCCTCCTGAATCCCATTGAGTACGCTCTCCCCCCCACACTTGACTGGTTAAAACCACCGAACCCGGCTCGACTCAGTTCTCAGGATGGTGCTTTTCTCGATATCCTGGCTCTTCCCCCCGACTGTCTCCGAACACTTCGACTGTTGTGGAGGCTGCCTAGCCTGAACATCGCTCGTGATTCCGCTCTCCATGCTGATCACATTTTGGCCTTCAATATGGCGTGGAGAGAGACTCGATCCCTTCGGCGGGTTCCTCTATCGAAAGGTGCTGGGAGTGGTTCTGGAGGTGGGTCTGCGCCAGAAGACGGAGAACAGGGAGGAAGTTCGCAGCAGTGAGTTGTACTTAGCTAATGTTGTATCCGTTGTATGAACTACTTCCTTGCCCGTGATCTCACCACTCGTCCTTTCCTCGGTTTCTCAGGGTGAAGTTCGTGGAACGTCGCCAATATGTCATTAGCTCCGTCCACATTCTCTACTGGTTCCCATGATACTGCGTCATCAGAGCCTTCATAGCCTAACCACTCCACTAGATACTCTAACCTTCCTGACCTCTTATTAACCCTCGAGTCCACAATACCCTTTACTTCCCAAGACTCTCCTACGTTATCTACCTCCACTGGGCCAGGTGGTTCAGCTTGCTGACCCGGAAATACTGGAGGGTGATAGGGACGGACCAAGGAGACATGGAATACATCATGGATACCTGCCATCGTTCCTGGCAGTTCCAATTTACAAGCATGAGAACCTACCTGCCGTACCACCTTGTACGGCCCACTTTGTTTCACATCTAACTTCTTCATCGGTCTCTTAGTCTTAATGTTCTCTAATGACAGCATCACTAGGTCACCTTCCACGAAGTTCGGCGTAGTTCGGTGTTTCCTATTGCATCCTTCGGCGTACTTCTCGTTAGCTCTCTCAATCCCCTCAATGCATTCCTTATGTATTTCGGTTAGGTCTTTTACTGCTATTGTAGCAGCAGGTACCTCGACTTCACTAGCCTTAATCTCTTCCGCCCATCGAGGGTGGTACCCATAGTTCGCATAGAATGGGGTCTTGTTTATCGCGGAATGATGGGTGTTGTTGTAAGCAAAGCTAGCTCGAGCAAGCAGCTTCGACCAGTCGTTCTGCTGGTAGGAAGTGAAGATTCGAAGGTATAATTGCAGGGACTGGTTCGTTCGTTCTGTCTGTCCATCAGTCTGAGGATGATACGCAGTAGAGAGATGTAGTCTTATCCCGAGACTATCGGTCAAGTTCTTCCAAAACTTCGAAGTAAATTTCGAGCCCCTGTCTGATACTATACTCTCTGGTAACCCATGCTGGGCCACCACATAGTCCATTATCAGCTCCGATAGTCCAGCTGCGGTTAACTTCCTCGTAGTTGGGATAAACATGGCCCATTTTGTCAGTCGATCCACAACCACTAAGATAGAGTTATATCCATGGGAGTTTGGGAGCTCTTCGATGAAATCCATCGAGATACTTGACCAAGGTTTTGTAGCCACTTGCAGGGGTTTAAGTTCCCCATGAGGCTTCTGTCTGTTAGTCTTCGCTCTCTGACATACCGCACAACCAGCGATATAGTCTTCTACATCCTTCCTTATTCCAACCCAAACATAATCTCTCAGGACTAGTTCAAGGGTCTTTGCCGAACCCGGGTGACCAGCTAAGGCCGAGTCATGTCGCGTCTTCATAATCTTTAGTCGAGCGTCGGCGTAGTTCGGTACATAAGTGCGATCGTCGAATGCAAGAAAACCCCTTGGGGTCCACCCCCCACGAAGTATCAGAGGGGACCGCGAATTACGGCGTAGTTCGGTGATGGATCCTGGTTCCTGTACGTCATCGTGACACGTTGGATGAGAACACTCAGCGCAAATGACTCCTAGTAGCTCCTTCCTAACCTCCTCCACTTCCTCATCTTCCTGTATACCAACAATCAGATCCATGGGATCAATAAGGTCACTCTCTCTCACTTCCTTTGTCCCTTGCAAAGCACGAAGTAGGTGTTGTAACCCAGAGCTAGTGCCGTCGAGTTCGTCGAACTTCGGCAACCCTTGAATAAGGTTGCTCTCTTGCACCATAGTACTTCCCTTCCCCGAATGGTAATCGGCTCTCCTCGATAGTCCGTCCGGCAGCGTAGCTTGTTTCCCAGGTCGATACACCATTTTAAACCTAAAGTTAGAAAGCTCTTCGACCCACCTGCCCTGTCTCGGGCTTAACTGCTTCGGTTCCATCCAGTATGTCAAGTTCAGGTGGTCCGTGAGAACTGTAGTCTCTACCTGTAACAGTAAGTGTCTCCTTCTTCTAAAAGCCTCAACGATAGCTAGTAGTTCCTTCTCGCCTACCGTATAATTTAACTGCGCCGCTTGAAACGCTCCTGACTCGATAGCTACCGGATGTTCTTGTCCTAACTCGTTCACCTGCGATATTATGAAGCCCCACCCGAAGAACGACGCATCTGTCTGTAGTAATGTCTTCAACGAAGGATCAAAGTGAGCCAATACTGGGGCCCTACACATTCTATCCTTCAATTCTTTAAAAGCTCTTTCCTGCTCCATTCCCCAGACAAACGGTACATCCTTCCTTGTGAGATCATTGATCGGTTTAGCAATCCTGGAGAAGTTGGGGACAAAGCGCCGATAATAACTAACGACTCCCATAAATCCTCTGCTCTCTCGCAAGTTCTTAGGACGGGGAAAAGAGACGACGGCATCGATATATTCCGGATTACTGGAAACCCCTTCGCGCGAAACCACAAACCCTAGAAAGACTACCGACTCCCTCTCAAACTCGCACTTACTAGCTTTTACGAACAGATTCGACCTTCGAAGAACTTCGAACACTTTCGCTGTAGTTCCTCTCAATTCTTCCAACGTTTGCCCATAGATGAGTATATCATCTATGTAGACAACTACTCCTTTCCCCAACAGTTCTCGGAAGCTTTCATTCAGAAAATGCTGGAATACAGCAGGAGCATTTCGCAAACCATCTCGAACAACAAGAGACTCGAACATACCGTACTGAGTCCTGAACGCCGTCAAGTGCTCGTGTCCTTCCTTTACTCGTAGGAGTTGATAAGCTCCAATTAGATCTAACTTGCTGAAATACCTCGCTTTTCCCAGCTCTTCGGTTATCTGGCCGATCAGAGGCAGTGGATAGGCGTCGGGTATTGTTGCCTCGTTTAGCTTTCGGTAGTCAATGACCATTCGCCATTGACCTTTTGCTTTCTTCGGCACCAAGAACATCGGTGATCCGTAGGGCGAATTACTGGGTCGAATTCTTCCGGCCGATAATTCGCGATCTAGAATGTCTCTCAGCGCACTTCTCTGATCTTCTCCAAGTGAGTAGAGTGGAGCAACCTTCAGGTTCGCCCCCTCCTTGAGATCAAACTCCAGATCATATCCCCTTGAAGGGGGTAATTCTTCACCTCCCTTCCTCGGTGTCACGGCCGTCGAACAACTATTTCTTAATAGACCGACGGTCGACGAACCTCGGCTAACTTCACGCTCTGAGTCGATGTCTCACCCAACCAGGAGGGCGCAGACGTCGAAAGGGGTGTAACTACGGCGTACTTCGGTGTAGTTACTCTAACTAGGGTTTTGTTCTACTGATGGCGATGTATCTTGATTTATAGCTATCTCTATCTGTCTTTCACTACTGACAACAATCAAGGATCGCTGAAGAACTTCAGCGATCTTCTCAGCTAATATTATCTACTCCTCCTAGACGTTCATCCAACCCTCTCGCGCTTTGACGTACTTCAACGCACTTCGTCCAACTTCCCCGAGCCCTCGGCCATCCTCTTCCTCCTTCGGCTAACTCCGCCTAACATCGCCGCACTTCTGCTCCCATTGTCCCTACTTAGCCTAACCCCGCCTAACATCGCCGCACTTCTGCTCCCATTGTCCCTACTTAGCCTAACCCCGCCTAACATCGCCGTACTTCTGCTCCCATTGTCCCTACTTAGCCTAACCCCGTCTAACTTCGCCGTACTTGGTGTCAGAAGTCCTGAGTTACGTGTAGAGTAAAGAGGTTAAGGCGTGATGGGGTTTTGATGGCCAAAGGAGGGTCATTGTTGGTGGAGTAATCGAGGTGTCACGACGTAGTTCGTGACACTCGGGTTAAACACATCAATGAACGGGTGATACTGTTCAGGAACCACCTGATACAATTCCTCCTGTTCCTCCGGACTCAGTTCATCCTGGTCATCTTTGTCTCGGAGATCTATCGCGTCCGTCGGGGTTGGCAGCCCTATGGCTGCTAACTTCGCCGCACTTGGTGGTCTCGGAATGGGGAACTTTACCGAGTTGTCTCTTCCATCAAGAACAACCCCTTCCTTCCTCATCCAGTCCCACCCTATCACAACATCTGCATCGCAGAGTGTTGTTACATCGAGGCGAACAGATCGCACTTTGGCGTCCTTCGTCAAACTAAAACCGACTTCGACAAACTCGGTGATAGGTCCAGCGACACTAACCGAGCCATCAAACATGTAAACGGGTACGCTCACCTGGTATCGTATCCTCTTTGCATCAATCCTCGCCGCTGCTCTAGGACTTATATATGAACAAGTAGCTCCAGTGTCCCAGAGCGTGGTTAGTTTAATTCCATTAACGAAAATGTCCGATTTAGGTTGATCTTTAGAAGTGGAAGGGATGAGAAGATGATTATCGACATTGCATGAACAAGGGGTACTGAGTGGTGTGTTTTTGAATTCACAATTCTCTGGCTTCATCAGCTGTGTCTCTTTTCTGGTTTTAGGAATGGTGGCCGAGAGAATATGGCGGACCCGCCGAGCCTCGCCTACTGCGACAGGTCCTCGTCTTTTCCCTGCTCTTCTTCTACCTCCCAGTCTCCTGTTACCGCATTCAGGTTCCTCCTCTGTCCAAGAGGTACTGCGTTACCCTCCGATCCTCCACCACGTTCGCCGAACTTCTCCCCCCACGGAGGCAACCATCCGACCTTTACCTTCGCTGCCCTCACCGGGCAGTCCCTCAACCAATGTCCCTTCTCCCCGCACTCAGTACACTTCCCTTCCTTCTTCCTTGTCTCTCTCAGCTCGGGAGGTGGCCTGGGCCATTGTCGGCGAAGTTCGTCGGCATTCGACGGGATGGTCTTGGCCTGCGTCAACGCAATAGTCGATTGTACCGCAGGCTGCGCCGAAGTTTGCCTCCCTTCCCCTCTCTTCTCCTCTTTCCTCTGACTATCCACCACTAACACTTCCTTTACCCCCGTCTCCCTCTTCTTCTCTGCATCCTTCTCCACTTTCCTTCTCCACAACCGGTTGTCCATGGGAATAACAAACTCCAATAACTCCTTGACAGTCCCAAAAGATTTACCATGTCTAGCAATTTCATCTAGGAGGTGTGGTTTCAACCCTTTCTTGGCTCGGTCAACCAAGTTTCCGTCATCAGACCACTTGAGTATCGCCACATGTCGTTGAAAGGCGGAGAAGTACTCCGAAGCTGACCCAGTCTGCCTTAGATTGTTAAGCAGTCGGGCTGCGGTTCCTTCTTCATCCGGATCACCAAAATTTGTCTTGAGATATTTAACGAATTGATCATACTCCCTAAGGTAGTAAGGAAGAGGTCGTTTAGCAAGATCGGGTTGGACGGCGAGAAGAGGTGTTTCGCGTAAATGAGAGATCATGAAGAAGACTTTCTTGGTGTCGTTGGGGAAAAGGTGAGAGTTCAGTTCGTAATGGATTTCACACTCCGACAGAAATGCGGTCAACTTGTTCCTTTCTCCTCTCCAGAAGTCCGGGTTGGGTAGCTTTATCCCCTTCCGTTGTTCGCCAACTACGCTTGGGGTCGCCGAAGTTTGCCGTCCCATGGCGTACCTCACCCCCTCTGATATCCCTTCTGCAATTCCTCCCACTGTCTCCCTCTCTCTTCTCTGCTCCCATTCCTCTCTACGCCTCCTCTCTTCCATCATGTCTTTGTTCATGTTTGCAACCATCTGCATCAAGGCCAACATCACCCCTTGTGTTCCTCCTTCTCCCAAGTTCGCCGTACTTCCAGTGTTTTCTCCTGGGCGTGGGGTTTGGTCTGATCCAAGCGGGGATCCCACAGGTGGTAGAGCATTAACAGGAGGGGTAGGAGGGTTGGAGGGTACCAGTGGAACAAACTCATCTCCTTGCACTGACCCCCCCTCGCTATCCTCCACTCCAAGCTGCTGCCCCATCGCTCTGCCAAGCTCCTCCAATGCCCTCCTCTCATTCTCCTCCATCGCTTCCATGTCCCTGCTCAAACTTCGCGTGGTTCGCCTTCCTGGCTCCATCTTCCTTGTACTTCTCCGAGGTTCGCACGGGTCGTCGGTAAGAGCGATCCTTGATACTGTCACGGCCGTCGAATAACTTCTCTCCAATAGACCGACGGTCGACGAACCTCGGCTAACTTGGTGGTCCTAATTCGATGTCTCACCCAACCAGGAGGGCGCAGACGTCGAAAGGAGTGTAACTACGGCGTACTTCGGCGTAGTTACTCTAACTGGGATTTTGTTCTACTGATGGCGATGTATCTCGATTGTATATAGCTATCTCTATCTGTCTTTCACTACTGACAACAATCAAGGATCGCTGAAGAAGTTCAGCGATCTGTAAACTATCTATACTTCCCCTCTCTTCTCGTAGAACGTCCCTCAACCCCTGTACAGCCTCGCGCTCAGTCCCCTTCGTTCAACTTCGCCGTACCTCGCCATATCCCCGGTATCCTACTCCGACTAACTTCGCCTAACTTCCCCTACTGCACTCTCCCTCGGTTTCCTTCCCCTAACTTCGCCGTAGTTCTCCGTTGGTCGGGGTTGTTGTGACTAATAATCCCTGGGTTCTCGTAACTTCGTCGTAGTTGGTCTCAGTGCTTCGGGATGGTGGTGGATAGTGGCTCGGTGATAGTGAAAGGAGGGTCGGTGATGGTGGTTGTCAGGGATGTCACGACATGGTTCGTGACAATTGAAATGGAGAATAATGTAATGGTAGGATAGGTTATTGGTTATTTGATCAGCACGGAACGGTTTGAATTTCGATAGTAAATATAGAATATGTGGAGAAGAGGTATGTGTGTGTGTGTGTGTGTTGGGGAGGGAAGGGAAGGGGGGGATGAAGAGTTGTTTATATAATATGAATGAACAATAGAACTGTGACATTGAATATTGACATGTGTCCCCCTTTACCCCTAAATCCGTTAAAGGATGATTAATTTAGATGAATTAGTTTCATCAATGAAACAGTTTCATAAATGAACAGCATTGAATAATCAATGGAAAGGATACTGATATCACCTTTTCAGGTCATATATCACTTTAAAAGGGAGGTAGTTTCAACTGTCACCATCGTGAATCTCACAGAGACGTGTTTCAAGAAAAGATGAGCATTCAGTGTCAGTCGATACATGTCATGTGATCGTCGTAGCATATCGTGATGTCATATGACCAAAGTCGGATACAATACAAATCCAAAACGTTACCACAAAGTATTCTTCTTCGAACGATGTTTCAGCTTGAGACTTATCGAGTGAGGGAAGAACCGAGTGTTTTTGATGGAATGGAAAACAAATAAATCGAGTTTATCTGGTGTTGGTGTTTACTTGTGGTGATAGTGGTTTTCTAAGAGGTTGACCGAATATCTCCGTATCGTTCATTTGAGTTTTCGTTGATTGAATAGATTTAGCAGCTTTGGATTGTTTGGCAGAAGAGATATCAATTTGGTTTTGATGTTGTTTCTTCGTATATCTATCAATCAGTTTCGATATCGAATATGGGTGATAAGTGTAACGTGAAGTTTGGACAGATAATCTTGATTTACATAGTTTCAATACTGTATGTGGGTGATAAGTTGAACGTGTAGTAGGAATAGAATTTGGTTTTGAGAAAAAGGGACATTTCTCAATATGGGAATGATAGAATCTTGAATGGGGATGGGTTGTGAAAAAAATATCGGACGATCGTGCGGGTTGGTTTGAGCGAATCATTCGATGGAAAGGGTATTAGATGTGGAAAGAGAAATATTTCACTAGATGGGATAGGTGATAATGGGGTGTTTCATAATTGATGAGATCATAATTCCCCTTCATGAATGATACAGTATATACATGCAGTGAACGTGACAAGCTAATGAAGATATGGATATATGGATATATGGGGATATAGAAGGGGGCAATGATATAAAGGGAGAAGTAAGTAGAGAAGGGAAGAAGGGAAGAAGGACAAAAAGGGCAGAAGCAGATGGGAATCATTTTAATGATAGTGGTAAAAAGAAGAAAAAAAAGAAAGACTCACAAAGCGGTACCTGGTATTTTCTCAGGGTTCATATTCCCTTTTAAACGTTTATCAACTTCTTTAACTTGTTTAATATCTATTTCCTTTACTTTTATTATTTCTTCTTTTATTTCATTTAATATTTCTTCTAAAGTATTTCTAGAAATACCGAATGGTCCTATTCCTTTCCCTAAGCCTATCCCCGTTCCTGTTCCTGTTGAGAATTCTTGTTTCTTTTCTTGGCGTGATTGAACTTGGTCCAATGAAGAATATGACTTTCCCGGGTTGTTTTCAATTCGTGGATTATTTTCACCTTGTTTGTCACTGATTCCTGTGTCGATGGAGGTTTCTTGATACATTCCATTCACATGGTCGACTTCCGATGTTGAACCCATGAGAGGTATACGAGAAGAGTCCGAGGGATCATGATGAGTAGATGAAGATTGAATGGAAAGGGTGGATAGAGAATCGTATTTCTCATCTAACCATTTATCCACTAAAGAAGGAGAAGAAAGGGACCAGCATGATAAAGCGATTTGTGATGGTGTATAAAAGAATTCTAGGTCTGTTAATCTGGATTGGGATAGGTAATGGGCAGCTTTGGATAATGTTGAAGATATCGGTTCGGGGTTGGGTAGTGTCTGAATATCAGCTAGTGGTTTTGATCATTATTCCTTCGAGGAACTCGAGTTTTGATACATCCGCTTCTCCTATACGGCCTCCACTCTAAGATTAGAGTGGTATATTCATGAGAAAACAAAGACGCTAGGAAGGGACGAGTGGTAGGAGCAACGTTCTCTGTTTAGGATTGGGTTGAAGGGATGACAGTGCGAACATCTATCCAAAAATAGACACTGGTCAAAAACCGTGGCAATTGAATGTGAGTTACTCGTAGTGTGTAAGTAGTCACACGATACAAAATGACCGGAACGTTGAAGACGAGGTGAGACATTTCAACAAGGACGATCTAATGAAAGACGGAATGTGACACGGGAGATTTGATGATGTAATGTGATGAAACAAGAGTTTCTTAGAGGAATCAAGATGAAGATTAGGAAATATGTATAATGTGAAATCAAAAAAGAAAAAAACTCTACTCACTTGAAAATCCAATCCAAACCCTCTCAAAGCCTTTTCAGGTCCTCTTATCCAAAATTGAAAACTCAAACTTTGAGCAACCAAGAACTCCGTATCGAATATATCCCCCGGGGAAAGTTTTGCGAATTTCGGTACGAATATGTCTATTGGGATTGGATGATTGGTCGTTTTGGCAGCTAAGAATAGACATGTTGGCCTGGGGGTTAGATGATTCGTGTCTGGTTTTCGTCGAATGCGTGTCGGCTAGAATGGGAGGATGGACGGGTGTGTGTGTGTGGGCGTACATGTGTACAGATGAGTAGCATGTGCAGGGTTGCAGGGATGCAAATGAGTAGGCCGTACCAGGTCAGGGTACAGGGGTAAAGGTATAGCGGGTGATAAGGTGGTACGGTAATGCAGGTGCACAGAGAAGTAGGTGTAGATGAGCAGGTGAGACGTTGAGTGGTAGGCTGATTGAGAATATGAAGAAGCTTTTCTTGACTTCAAGTAAAGACGTGAGATGTGAAGCAAGATTCCACTACTCACATGATATTCTTCGGATGCCAATCCATCACACTGTTCTTAAGATAAAACCTTTTCAAATACGTTATAGCAGTATTTTCCACCATTTCCGGTAAACCGAAACCTTTTCTACATATTTGAGAGATTTGAGAAGAATAAAAACGGATCAATACGAGTTCGTCTGTTACGTTCAATCTGGGGGGTTCCGTATATGGGGTGAGGTCGTGGCCGAGGGATAATTGAGCTTCCTATGGGTCAACGCTTGTTCGACTCTTGCCATATGACAGATCCACCCAGCATGAAATAGAGTAGAAGTGAAGAGTACTGAAGTATAAAAGTTTTAAGGGGATGGGTAGGGAGTTCAAGTTGGGTATATGTCATTTGGAGGGAAAGAAGGTAGGGTGTTCGTCATGAGTGTAGAATGGTGATCAAAGGGTCTACATCGAAGGAGTAAAGAGTAGAAGTTGTAGAGGAAAGACTGAACAAGATAGTGATATCATATAGAAAAACTCACCCTTTCCAATCGTTGATTCGTCTTGATCTTCTCGGCACATTTCATGTTCAACTCATATCGTATGGTATAAAGCTGTTCGGAAGAGTATCGCCAATGAAGATATTGTGAAGAATCTTGATATCCTTGAGAATATCCCTTTTCTTCTTTTTCTTCTTTCTCTTCTTTCTCTTGTTCTTCCTCTTCCTGTTCTAGTATTAGCTTTGAGGTATCGGAAGACAAGGTCATTGGATGTATGGAAAGTGATAAAAGAACAAAGTCAAGAGATAAAGTCGAAGTGTAATCTTCCATCTTTTTCCCTTTTACCTCGTCACTTTCCCTTCGCACCTAGACTACCTGTACTTTACTTTTGACTCTCTTCACCCACCACATTCTCCATCTTACTTATATCTCCCATCCTCTGTGGGGTTGGGAAGAACGATCGGGGACGTCATCGATAACGACATATCATCCGACTCGTCATCACGTTTCACCCAGGCAACCTACCTAGGAATCCTTCGAACATTCGACTGGTCAAAGAGAATCGGCAATCCGGTCGTGATCATCATACTACTTGACCATGGGAACGATAAGAATGAGAATGAACATGTTCAGATGGGGCTTGATATTCCTACTCGCAATACAAACACAAGCATTCGATTGTTCATTATCCATCAACAACGTCCCTTACGATCTATCCCCTCTATCCGGTTTGAGGGAAAGTACAAAAGACGCTTCTACACCACCTACGACGAGTAGAGCCAAGGTGTTGATGGATCTTTGTGGGAATGGGGTGGATGATGATTCTGAGGGGGATGATAAGGTGGGTTTATCCTCTTTGGTTTATTCTACTTTATCTGTCATCAACATTCATCCTGTTTCTACTTTCTACCTCGTTATGTGACCGGACAACCATCCCCTCAGGTGTCTACGGTCCATATCACCAGATCCAACGGATAAGTTGTGATATCGAGTCTCTGTTAAATGAGACTAAATCTCACCTCAACCCATCGTGGCACATGGGTTTATCGGACAAAACTCATCTCACCCCTACATTTTGCCTACAAAGTTCCAACCTCGTTACAACTCACTAACACCCAGTGCCCACCCACCTCTCTAGTCTGTCTGAAATTACTCAACATAAAACCTTCTTCTTCAGAACCAGAACGTATCACCTCGGTCATACCACTTTGGTCTACCGATACCCCTGCTGAAGATGTAGAGATGAGTGCTTTGGATAAGGGGGGTCGTGGAGGAGTTAGGATCAATGTGAGAGGACCGGAATATGCAGGGTGAGTGGGGGGTTTCCGTTTTTGTTATCTTCTGACGATTCAACCATCTGTTCATTTAACTGTACAACCATTGAATCACCCAGTCGTCACACTATACAATGGAATAACTGTTACGAGTCTGATGAAGGGAGCGGTATCTGTCAGACTGGTACGCGTCAATTGGAGAAAGCCGAGATGTCTAGCATGATTTTGATACAGAGAGAGGGAGGAGCGGGAGCGGAGAAAGAGGAAGAGAGAGAGAGCAGAAGATAGGGGAAGAGCGAGAGTAGGCATGGAGGAAGGAAGCGAGGGAGAGAGAGGCAGGACAGACAGGGAGAAGAGAGGGAGAAGACGGAGGAAAAGAGAAAGAACAAAGAACTAAATTCATTTTCCAGATCTCAACAAAATCTAAACCTTACACTGCTATGTTCTTCAACATCAACAAAACCTATACCAGAAATAATATCATACACTTCCAACCTCTTATCTCTCGAATGGTCAACACCTGATGCTTGTCCACATGATAATTCTTCTTCCGACGAAGAAGAGAGTGGTGGTGGTGAAGGTGGGATAGGGTTTTGGGGATTTATAAAGTTTTTATTTTGGTTGGGTGTTATAGGATTAATATTATATTTCGTCATTGGTGAGTTAATCACTCTTCCAATTTGTCTTTTCTCCATTTCTCTCTTCATATTCACACTTTTCCAAAATCCATATATCACACAAATACTACCGAAGTATGTATATGTATATATATATATCTTATTCTCCACACTGTTTAAGGTTCACTCGTATTTTTCATTCCCCATTCCCCATTCCCCACTCTTCGAACACTTCAATTTTCGTGGATTCATATCTTACACAAACATTAAGATCTTCCGAATAATCTGTGGGACATATGGTTCATTTGTCAAAGATTCATCATTTCGTACCAACCAGTAGAGACAGTGGAGACAGTAGAGACAGTAGAGACAGTAGAGACAGTAGAGACAGTAGAGACAGTAGAGACAGTAGAGACAGTAAAGACAGTAGAGACAGTAGAGACAGTGGAGACAGTTAAGACAGTAGAGACGGTAGAAAGATTTATATCTCACATAACATTGTGATATCAATATCACTCACCAAATCCTAGTCAGAAATACGAAATATGTTGAAGACAACTTGATAATGCTAATTCTTTTAGGTATAACCTATAACCATCAACAATACTCTGCAAGAGGTTTCGACCTTATACCTCATCGAGATTTCTGGAGAGAATTACCTTCTTTGATCCAAGATTTATTATCTCATTTGTTATCTGGTTTAAGAGGTGGTAGAGGTGGTTATCATAGTTTAGGTTGAGGATTGTATATGTATCTATCTCTCTTTCTCTTTCTTCCCCTTCCTCTCTTCCTGTATGCCTCTATGCCTCTCTGCCTCTTTCCCTCTCTTCCTCTTCCTCTTCCTTTCTTCCTCTCTTCCTCTCATTTTCTCTCTTTATTCCAATTGAACAGCGCTTTTTCCTTCTATCCAACCCAACAACAACTTCTTTCTTATTTCCATCCCAACAGCGCTTTCTTTCTTGTTTCCTACCGAACAGTGCTTTACTTCTTTCTTCCAACCCGACAGTGCTTTCTTTCTTGTTTCCTACCGAACAATGCTTTCTTTCTTTCTTCCAACCTCACAGCGCTTTCTTTCTTTCCCTCAACCAAGCAGTGCTTTCTATCTCCCTTCCAACCTAACAGCGAATGGTCTCGAACAAAGTATCCACTACCCAATATCCATCTCTTATTGAGAGAAGGCTTAGTTCTTCGTTGCATGTCCCATCCGATAATCGAACATAAAGATCTCAAAATGAAGCTGAACATATATACATATATACTTGTATTGCCCTTACGATTCATTAACCAAACTTAAACCATTAACGGTCCTTTGCATATCCACCCATTCATTTTCTTTCGGTATGATCAAAGAGTCTGATAATTCGTAAATGTATAAAACACCATCAGAACCTCCTATACCTACTCTACGGGAAGAAGAAGTATGATCGAAAGATAATTTATTCAATGATGTCGTTGATACTTGTGTTGATATACTTGGGACCTGATAAATTAGTTTTTAATTATTTTCTCTTTGTTTGGTTACTTGTCGCTGATATACAAATAAAAGGACACGGGATCAAGCCGTTCCGGAGTTCATGTTGTCAGTGTAAGAAAGATGGACTGGAGTGATTGATGAGGATTGACGAATGGTCAGAAATATTTGGATATTTCTAGGTCGGTGTGGATGAAAAGTGAGGTTAGAGTATAATACACGATATAGAGCGAAATGGAATGTAGAAGAAAAAAAGGTATATGGTGGGAGAGAAGAGCCGAAGCAGGAAGAATTGATTAACAACATACCTCAACATCTTGATTCAAATTCCAAAGATCAAATTTCCCAGTTCCATCTACTGTCCCAAACACCGAAGGATGATGAGGATGCCATTTAACGTCGAAAACATAATCATCTGATTCTTCAAAAGAATGTATCGGTCCTACCCCTCCTCCTCCTCCTCCGACACCACCACTTGAGTTTACACCAAGTGAAGCAACACCGGGTAGTATTTTAGAATTGTTGGTGAGACCACTCTTATTTGTAGAGCTTGAAGATGATATATTCGACGGAACTTTTGAAGGCTTCGTTCTCCATAACTTTACGGTCCAGTCTACTGAACTAGTCAAGAATAAATCTGATAGATCGACCGGACCACTACTTGGATGAAGATGTAATCCCGTTATGGCACCTGAATGACCTCGATGGACGTCTTCGGATATTAAACCAGCTTTGGAAGATGCTCGATCGTATCGATTAGCAGGATAGATGGAACCTTCTTCTGTACCTATCCAAAGGGTTGAAGTGTCACCGTCTGGAAGGTCTAGGGCAGTTATGGATATTTCGTCAGTTTTGTTATGTGAAGGGATAGAGAGGGATAAAGCTTCCTGAACGTCAGTCGCTCATGTCATTTGAAGGGTGTGTTGAAGAGAGAGTTATGTACAAGAGGTGGGGAAGGGGATGAGGCGAGGAAGAGGATGAGGCGAGGAAGGGGAGGAGGCGGTGAATGGGAAGCGGCGAGGAAGGAGAAAAGATACACCAGAGCAGGACAAAACCCACTTGAGGTTGAGCAAGCATATCAGTCAACCAAGTACAAACCAAACCATCTGTCGAACTAGTGATCAAATTATTGGCATTTTGCGTTCCTACCATTTTCATAGAATAGATCGGATACGTATGACCTGAAGCCGATAATGGGGTTTTCAACACTGGGAGATGTTTCGCTCGTGTATCCCAGAGAAGTATTTGACCGGAATACGAACCGCCGAAGATGAGAGTAGGGTGGAATGGTGAGAATGTTACGGATAAGACGTCGGACTGGGGTTAATGGTGTTTCTGTCTTTCACTCGTGGCAGAATCTGAACATAGTGGATTGTTGGGTTATCCGAAAGATATGGTTCGACCTCGGTGTTGAGGGATCATTGACGAGATTGATCAATATCGGAGGTATGCAGATGTGTCGCAGAAACAGGAGCCAGTGGCATGCAGTACAGCCGAGAAGCATAGAGGATGATTGGAATGAGCAATCAGGACAGTCAAAGGTTCCGAATCGGGATAACGACAGATCGAGAGCAATATGGACTGCGAGAGTTGGAAAGAAAACAAAGACATGCGTGAGTCAACTCACGGGAGAATGAAAGATGAACTCTGGTCGTTCCAACAAATGTAAATTCCAAACAGCCACAATCCCATCTGGATCGTTCAACGCAGATGGGGACTTGTTATAAGACGCCGCTACGAGTTCGGGAAACTATGATCAGTTTTTTTTCTCATCCCATCACATGTGTTCAGGGAAACTCACTTTATGAGACCAATCTAGGTCCGTGACGGACCTTCCTGTAGTCCACCGGTCGTCGGAGAAGGAACAGAATAATTTGACTTTTTGACCTTCTGATTCGTCGCTAAGACGTGAGCGGGTTCCTCTGAGCGAGACTAGGGGTCTCAGTGAGAGGATGGGTCATAGGACGTCAAGACGGTGACAGGGTGAAGATAGCCAGTCGAGTGAGAACACCGTGGGGCGGTCGCGAAGAACAAAGGGGGGTTGCGAGAGGATGTTGGGCAGTAGAGAGAAAAGGGAATGATTTTGGGGATATCTGGAGGAAGCTCACAATGTACTGTCAATACCTATGGTATAATCTTTGATGTAATCGTAGTTGTCGCTCAGAGCTCGTTGGACTATTCTAGTAGATTCATCTATGAATATCGCAAAGTCGGGATTGTGAAATATCGCTTGTTTTTGTTCAGAAGAGAGTTCTTCAACATCAGCTCATATTTCATTAGTCACCATAGATATCACCTGATGGCATGGTGACTAGCTCTCGATGGGCGAATCATTCAGGGACGTCATACGGCAAATATAGAATAGAACGGATCATTTGTGGAGAGGAATCGATGATATGGGAGAACATAAATGACAATATTGAACAGTGAACTATGAGGTGAAGAGGAAGGTGGCACAATGGGTCATATACTGACCCATAGGCATGACCTTATCTCTCGATTTCAATTCTTCCAACTCTTTCTCCAAAGCTTTTCTCTCTTCTTCCAATTCCAACAATATACGTTTCCTCATCTCATCTTCTGTTTCTCTACCTGATCCTCCATCTGGTCTTCGTCGTGAGGGATCATCCTCATCTGAGTCAAGATCGGATGTGGAGGTGGAAGTAGAAGTACCGGTAGTTTGGATAGCTTTGGAGTATGTTACTGGTTTTGATGGCTGAGAGTTAGCGACAATTGATTCCCATCTACCATCTCCCCCCGTTGAAGACAAGGATCTAAGCAGATGTGATATAGAAGGAACGAGATGATACCCACTTTCGAAGGTAGTTCATACAATTCAGCTTGATGGTCCACATAATCCACCATGATTTGAAAAGGTGACCCCATCAATTCTCTTCTTCCATTCAGCTCTTCCATTCCAAATACAAAAACACATCAAATCGCTCACCTATCCGTCCCTCCTATCCCACTGATTCCAGTTCCACCACTAGGTACCCTCCTTCCACCTTGAGTAGAACCATCGTTACTCAATCTACTAGCCCGTCCACCAGGGGTAATAGTACCTGTCAAACCTGGTGGTGTGTCTCCCGTCTGCTGGGATAACTGAGAAGGTGTGACCTGACGTGTGCTCGGAGCGGGGACGAAAGGTGAAGTGGGTCTGGTACTTGGTGCCAAGAGAGATTCCACCAGTTCATTTACATCACGTCTGGAAGAAGTTAATGGCTGAGTATGAGTATAAGTTCTGTACGGTTTGATGATGGGAGGAAAGGGGTAGTCTTACTTCTGTTGAACCTTTCTCAGCTTGAGCTTTACGTTCTTCCCTAGCTCTTCTTAATTCTTGTATTTTCGCACGTTTCTCTTCTATCTCTCTCTGTCTTCTATCCGCCATTGTGAGAGCGTATGTAGATAGGAAGAGGTGTGTGTGTGGGGTAGGAGATGTATGCGAGTATGGGGGAGTGGGTTGTAGGGAGGTGATGTAGAGATCAGAGCGTGTATGGTACAATCACGTGACTCCCCACGTGGGTATATTCGCCACCCAACGCGACTAACCCACTCACCCTATCACTTTGGATCCCCTGGGGCAAGCGACGGCAGCAGCCGCAGTAGGACGGCATGCGTGAGGATAGGTTGATTGATATAGACAAGGTATCAATGGGAATAACAAGGCGAAATGACTTTCTTGACGAGACAACCGTCATTGTGGGAAGGATACGAAGAAATCACCTCCTCGGATCAATACTTTGAGACGGAGCAAGAAGGTCAATCATACGATAACGAGGTCAGACTGGCAATTCAGCACAAACTTGTCATGGAATATGGATCATGTACGAAAGACACTATATCTGCTACACCAAACTCTATCAATGTACAGGGTGTCACAACGGACCATCCTAGCAAAATACCTATCGATCCATCCACTTTCTACTCCAGACCCTCCTTACCTTCCTTCAGACCATCTCACATACAAACTTCCACTCCTCATACTCGTTCCACACCACACGTTCCTACTCCAAGTACGATCGGCTCTACCCTTCCTCCTCCTCGACCAGCCTCAACTTCCCACATCCCTGCTCGACGAATAGACACCCCACAGGCTATACCATCTCCGATCGACACACCTGGATCGTCCACTTCCGCCGTGATAGGCGGAGTAAAAGGTGTCAGAGGATATGGGAGTGGTGAAGGAGAAGGAAAAGGTAAAAGAGATGACCCTTCCACCCCGATGCCACTAGGTACAGCGATTTTCAATAAACTCAAAAGTAGACAAGATTTTCAAGCGTTGACCAAACATTTCGACAAGTTCACAAAAGATTTCTCCAAAGTTACCTCAGAGGGTAAAGGAGAAAAGATGGGATCGAAGAAGAAGATGAAAGGAAAAATTGCTTCGGTGCTTTTGACGAAGGAAAAGGTTTTCGAAGGATTGAGGTTTTGTTTTCCATATGAGGTGAACGGGGCTAGGAAGAATAAGACAAGATGGGAGATTGTGAGTTTCTTCTTGTTTCTCCCGTATGTGGAGGATTAAGGGAAACATTATCTAGTGATTGGAAAATGAGACATGATCTGACGACAGATTGCACAGATGGAAGGTCAAGTGACTATTCAACCTGATACAGCGATTACTCATGTCATACATGATTCCGGTCGTTCTGCTTCGATTTTGGCCAACTCGCTTGGATTGAGAAGTTTGAGTGAATTGCCGCAAGGGACGGTTTGTGTGAAATGGGATTGGGTCGCGCAATGCAAATTGGCCGTGAGTTCAACCATCTACTAAGCTTTGCCTTTCTTTCCCTGTTTTCTTATCTTCACTCAGACTTTCTTCCTCTTATATTCCGTCTCCCTTTTGGTGAAACTCTTCTTTTGTATCTTACAGTAAACATATTTTCGAGCCCACTTGATCTTCACATCGACTATCCACCAGAGCTCTCTCCTGTCGAAGCACCGCTTCAAGGATATCCAGATATGTGGGAGGTCGGGATGATGACAGACGCGAGGTTGATGAAACCAGAATCGACTCCTCGATACTGAACAATTCCTCAGTTTCCCTAAAAACACCTTGACTCGCAATCCCGCCATGTTGTCAAAAGCGCCAAGTAGGATGACAGATATTTCAGAGCAACTTCGGGCAGGTCAAATGAAAGGAAAGTCATTGAGTATATCACGGTATGTTTTCTTCATCTGCCAAAGACCATTCACCCATCCCGACTTTGTCAAACCGTCATACCAGCCGTTCTTTCTTGTTGATCGTGTTGACAGCATCATGGAAGAAACCAGTTGAAGACTAATGAAATGTAGTAAACGTGAACCTACAGCTTCGGATTCAGAAACTCAATCTCCAGTAAAACGACCGAGAATGTTAATATTGCCACGGATCAATAACAACGTGTCAAAGTCTGTCATCTTCAACGAAAAAGCTTCCAAATCGAATGAACTCAATGAGGGTGTGTCCAGCACAAACTTATTTGACCCAAGTTCATCAATCAGTATGATACATGTGAATCAGAAGAGAACAGTGGATACGGAACATGATCTACCTTCTGGGCCGGGGTGGGAGGATGTACCGGCTGAGGAAAGAGATGGGTTGGATGAAATGATTTCTGGTGTTAAAGGTGGGATAGGGGTCATTCCTGAGGTGAGCTTTACCGTTTAACCTCGTCATTCTGTGGCGAATCCCCAGACCTTGAGGCCATCTTTATCCCCCATGTGCAGATGGTGTGAAACTCCATTCGCGTCTCCCGTCCTATGTCAGCGAAGCTCCAGTGTCTCCCTCTTTCTTCTCGTGTGCAAGTGATTTGTAACACTTTGTGTTTCAAGTGATGAATGAAGACGTTGATGCCACAGTCTGACGAAGAATCCGTCTCTCATCCTGAGGCCCCATTGACCGCCGATAATCCAACAATCAACGTTAACACTCGATCTGCTCAATCGGGGCTATCTAATCTATCATCTGTACGTTCTTTCTCGTCCTTTCAATCCTAGCCTAGAACAGTCCACTCCTTCATAATATAAGGATCAGCGAGTAAGTATAGAATTATCATCTCAGAAACTCTTTATACAGTGGTCCCGTGTACACCTACTGTCAATTACAAAAGCTAATGGGAAAGGATGCCGTTCCGATTTTTTCCAATCCTCAAGAAATCAACACCCACACCAACCCTGACCCATTGGCCAATGTATGGAGATGTGGACAATCAAACGACGGAAATCCACTTGAAAGTCCAAATGAACGGCTAGCTAAGAAATTAGATGAGATGCACGATTTGTATCTTGGTCAAACGGATAAAAACCCGTTTTCCGTCAGAGGTTATAGACGTGGTGAGTTGATCTTTTTCAAAACGTTTTGAGAAAGCTGATGATGTAGCTGCTGCGGCAATACGACGTGTGTCTCTTCCTCCTCCTCCTCCTCCTCCTCATTCTATTGTATACAAGATAATCGCCCTGTCATTCTCTCCCTCGGACAGCCGTCTTGTCGCCTCAGTCATATTCGTCACGCAACAAATTCTTGCTATCCCCCCTACGGTCGATACTTTCCCATTTCACCAATTACTCGTTTCCCATAGCTACCGCGAAGCATAGAACTCAGAAGGTCATCTGCGGTACTTACGACGTAGAGCTCACCGCGGGTCGAAGGTGCGTCCGGAGGTGCTGACGAATAGGCACCAAAACCCCAATTACCAGCGGCGCCCAAGCTCGTTCACTTCTTATAGGGATAGGTCAAGGTATAGCAGATCGGATCGATGAATTTCTCACCGGATCGAAAGGAAGGGAATATTACGAAAATACCGAGAAAGCGAAAACGATCAGTATGTTTAAAGATATTTATGGAGTTGGTGAGTTTTCCTTCTTTCTCCGGGATTCAACAATACTTCGTCTTAAGTCATTCACTTCATCCTAAGATACTCTTATATCTACATCGGTCAGTTCACTCAATTGAACGGGTATGAACCCCTGAGTTGTATACATACCTACCACTGGCCGTGATTCCCATGTCGTCTCTCACGCCTTTGACAGTATAAGCCTCTGTTTCGTCACTCCTTTTCTCTCGAGTCAAGCCTCTCATGAGAATGTTGCCTTCTTATCGAGTTGAGTCAGTGATTCTTACATGGTGGAAAGTCAGGTATGACCATTGGATCAACATCTGCTTCTCTGTGTAAAGGATCGTTGGTTTGCACTAGGAGGATAAATCCATATGGAGATGATTGAAAGAGGTGAATGTTTGATAGGGCTGGACTGATGTATAGGAAAATCATTCGCCAATGAACTGTATCGTCGTGGAGCTAGGACTATAGAAGATTTACGTGAGAAAGAGTACGGTTTGTCCAAAGGTCAAAAAGTGAGTTTTTAACCTCCTCTTAAATCAATCCCGTACTTTTTCTCTTACTCTATCACACCATACTAGGTACCCAACATCCCTCAATCACTTCGAGGATGTACCTTCCCGTCGATTCATGTTACTTTCAGGTTTCAGTATCTTCTTCGCTTTTATCTTGTGGGCTTCGTGTTGGCTCTCCACAATCACAAGCATGTCTTCATCAAAATGTCCTCTTGATCAACTCATTCTTATCCCATCAGTCAGCTTCTCAGATCTATTCATCCTCATCACACCTCTATCATCCCAAAGCCCAGTGTTCAGAAAAAGGATCCTCAGAATCATCAGCTTTTCCGTGATGAACCAATAAAACAAACTAATTCAACAGATCGGCGTCGAACTTTACTCCGATTTGATATCTCGGATCCCTCGAAAAGAGTGTAAACAGTTATACGACCTGATACGTTCTTCTGCACTTGACATTGATCCGATGGTATGGGTTGAAATCATGGGATCTTATCGTCGTGGTGGAGTTGATTCTGGTGATGTTGATATTTTGATCACTAGGGATGATTCGGATGGTAAGACTCATAAAGGTTTGATAAAGTCGTTAGTGAATGATTTGAGAAAAAAGGGTGTTATAACGCATGAGGTTGGTTTTTTGAGTTTCTCCCTTCCCTTCTTCATGTTTTCTTTTTATCTCTCTCGATTTCGGTGTTTTTTCTTTTTTTCATATCTTTATCTATCCTCTACACACTTGTCTTTTTTTCTGCTTCGTGTTCTTTTTTTTTCACGTTCACCTCGTCAACCTGCTTCCTCATCTTGCCTCCTATGATCTCTATTATCTCACCTTCTTCCCTTCGCCTTTCGTCACCTTCACCTTCTTTGTCGTTCGTCCCCCTCACCATCTTCACCATCTTCACCATCTTCACCATCTTCACCATCTTCACCATCTTCACCATCTTCACCATCTTCACCATCTTCACCATCTTCACCATCTTCACCATCTTCACCATCTTCACCATCTTCACCATCTTCACCATCTTCACCATCTTCACCATCTTCACCATCTTCACCATCTTCACCATCTTCACCATCTTCACCATCTTCACCATCTTCATCATTTTCACCTTCTCATCTATCGTTCAGAGTGTCTACTTCGGACTCATATACCTCTCTAATGTTGAATACGGCCCTACCCCATTCTCCAGATCGACTCCAATCCGAACCCAAATTCATTCAAACAACCTTTCTAAACTTTTCATCATGAATCCTAATCATCTGGCTTCCTCATCTTAACCTCTCATCCCCAACCCTTAGATCTTAGAGGTACTCCAGATTCTACAGTCATATGACAGCCATGCAGTGCACAACTGGTCCCGTTTCCTGACACTGAATCCTCACGATAGTCGTGTCCTACTTCGCTGACCTCATCACCAGATGTCAGCCCCGTCCGATTGGTCAGCTCTTGAGACTAAATGGATGGGAGTTGGACGTGTCCCTGGTGGGAAATATAGACGTATAGGTGGGTTATTTGATTTCCTCTTATCTCTCAAGTATCCCCCCCCCCCCACCCCACCCACCCCACCCCTCTTTGCTTGCGTTTTCCTCCTTCCTGACTCTCACATCTGCACTTCCTTTTTTTCACTTTACTTGGTCGTTCATTCTTTTCCAGCTCTTCATTTCTTCAAGTCTTCACTCATTCTTCACTTTCTCTTCCGTCTTTTCTCATTCGTAATTTCTTATCTGCTCTCCTTCCTTCACTTACTCATTTCTATCTACCTTCATTCCTGGATCTTTACCCCTTCTCTATCTATCCTTCTATCCTATTCCGTTCTTCGAATGCCCGTGTTCCTTCTGTAGTCTGAAGCACCAAACATTTCGAGTATCATAAATCCAATTTCATCCACGAACCCCCAAAGTACTTACCTGTACATACATTTCACACATGAACAACAAAGATTTCAAACACGCAAAGTACAATATCAATATACTGTATTGATTCAAGGATGACTAAACAAACTAGATATTTTATGTATTCCATTCGATCAATGGGGAGCAGCATTGATTTATTTCACAGGTAATGAAATTGTAAGTGTTTTCTTCCTTCCTGTATCCTTTCAATGGTTCATGGTTCTGGTCCATCAATCAATGTTCCTCTATTCTTCTGACCCTCCGTTTAACCTGTATTCCTCTGTTCATTTAGCCTACCAGCAATTCATGTCGCTCCAGGTCTCTTATCGTCCATCTATCTATCTATCAATCAGCTATCTTCTTCAATGATCAAATATTTCAATGATCACCTATGGTCGACTACGTTATGTTGACCATTTCAGTTCAATAGAAGTCTCAGGTTATACGCTCGTAAAAAAGGTTTTTCGTTAAACCAACGTGGCCTATATACGGGTGTCATGAGAGGTCCCGATGGGAATAAAATAACTGAAGGTGAGTTACTCGTTTCACCTTACTTATTGTATCCATATACATCGTGTACAGGTTTGTCCATTCGTATTTAATCCCAATATATGATCTTCCACCAGTTGATCGGACGGTATATCGGCCACCGATCAGTCATCTTCGTACCCCTCACTCAGAGCTGATCGTCTTCCTCCTGAATGATCAATAATTGTTCTTGTTCATCACCTGTTTGACCTCATTTCAACTCAATAATGGTAGATCGACTGACATTGACACCTTAAGAGAGATTGTGGTTTCCAAGACGGAAGAAGATATTTTCAAAATACTTGGGATCCGTTGGCGACATCCACATCAACGAAGGCCTTGATCGTGTACAGGATACTGTAGTGGTTGTCGACGGTGAATCAGCTGTGGTGGTGGTGGTGGTCGCTTGATTCGAGTCTCATCGGGGTCATATCGAACAAGAAGTTGATAAGGAGAGGTACAGTATGTACTGTACGGGTACTCTGCTATACTTTACTCGAGTACTGTGCTATTATGTCTATCTGCTTCCATCTGCTAGTGTTGTAATACGTATGAACTGCATGTGTGGGTTTTCAAGTACGTGTGTTCGTATCCTCTCATTCTCGTCATCCATCCTCTTCGAAAACAGCGTTCATACTCCGCCCCTTGACGTAACCACCTAACCTACTTTCCCACTTGACCTAACCCAGGTGACCGATGAAATACTTAAACACCTGCCTAAGGCTCCTTCAACTCTCCTTTCTCCCAAGCCGCAGCAATCTCTTTACCCGTGATGGTCCTCACTTCTCCAGGAGTAGCAACTTCGCCACTCACAGCAGACGCTACGACATCAACGGCGGTACCTATCATCGTACGTTTCTGATGGAAATGACGGATCTCGTCAATTTTCACTTGGAAAACAGCCATACGAGGATCGGTTGGGCCGCCATCGTGGATACCGTCACCTTTGTCGCCAAACCAAGCTTTGAGGGTGGGGTTGTAAAGTTTGGCGATGAGATTGTCGTCGGTGATTACGCTGGGGTCAGTGGGGCGGGCATGGCGTTACATTTGTAGAATTTATGCTGAGTTCAGGTGGAGCGTGAGGGTATTGACGGTGAGGAAGGAGAATGGTGGTTGTGAGGGAGGTACTATAGATAAAGGCATGCGACAAAGAGGTGGAAGAGGGTAAAGGGGAACGAGAAGAGGTGGTGTAGGGAAGATCTTGCACATTCGTAGATAAGAAAGATGTCCGGTTTCCCACTAAGTGCGAGATGCCAGGATACGAGGGAGAGGGAGGGGACAGGATTGAGGGAGATGCAGAGTGTTCAGGTATAATTGTGAGAGATATGACGGTGTTCCAGGATAGTCCAAAAGGTGCCAAACAGAATTGGCACATTGTTGAGGGCAATTGGAAAGGGCAGACTCACTCGGCACGACCAGCAATCGACACCCAACCTTGGTTCTTTTCCATCCCATCTGCATTAACGTTGACGTGATCACTGTTGTCAGTTTGAGTTTCGCAACTACAGAACAGAGGTCTGAGTGGATAAATTGGCATATGAGATGTGGGTAGAGTGGGAATCCCTGCAAGAGCATCCAAGAATGTAGAGAAGCTGATACTCTGAGGAAGGAGGAGAAGACGTAATGAGGGCGATTGTCAATGATGTAGGTGAGTGAAGAAGAAGAATTAGACCCACTCATTCTCCACCTCGGTCTCTTTATAACTCTCCCTATCATAAATAAACCTCAACTTCCAATCTTTTGTAATCTCAGCCACTGCCATACATCTCGCATGGAGGTCTCCTTTAGGTGAACGAGTGACGAGCATGACCGCTTTCCGGTTGTTCAAGAAACCCCGAAGGTCTGTGAGTTTGTCGGTGAGAGAGGGTGAGGCGGAAGATGCTGAAGTGTATTGATCTGACATTCTGGATATGAGTCGGGTCGCTTTGACTAAAGGTGTGCGATGACGGAGAAAGAGGAGTGTTCGGATGGACAGCATTGGGGTCAGTGAAGAAGGGAAGAAGAAGGAGAAGAAGAGGTAAGGACTTACGTTGATAGGTAGGTGTTGAGTGTTGGTTTATGAGAGAGAGAATGGTGAGGAATGTGAAGCGACAAAGTGTGGTGGGGACAAGATCGATCGAAGCTGGGTGAGGAGGGTGACGTCATGTCCATGTGGGGTAGCGTGGGGCTCCAGGAATCACGTGATGTCCTAATTATCATACCCAAGTTGCAAAAAGTCAAAAGTCGAGATGAAGATGAAGATGATGTTAATACAATGACTCAAGTGATAACCTTGTATAGGAGCTTCCTTCAACATTTACAACTACTACCTGATCCTCATATATGGTGGGTACTCGTCCCACGGTATAGGTCACTACTTCAATCGGCATCACCGGAGCGGAAAGGAGAAAGCTCGAGTCATCCGCTGACGACATGTTCAACTTCGAAAGAGTCGAAAAAGTTACGTCTGGCAAGAAAGGTGGGTCTTATAGATAAGACGGTCTGTCAACTGAACATTAGGAGCTTCGACAGTTGAAGGCCGCTGTGAGCTGTCATCCTCATGCTCTAACCAGATTGTTGGAGGATGTGTATGGGCAGAGGGAGAAGGGAAGGTTTTTGTTGCTCAATGTGGGTCATCCTCCTTCTCGTTCCGTTCTCACCGTAACACATCAGTTAAGCGCATCCAAAGACAGGAGGGGACACGAATAGATTGGAAAGATGCTGACACACAGAATGTCCGTCGATCCTGGCTTTACCATCATCCGAATTATCCACCCTCAACCATCCCTCCCCCTCTCATTCCCCTCCTTCCACCCCCTGCGGAAATACCTGTCCCCACTGCTCGAGCACGTACCGCCATTCCACAGACAGCGATAAGAAAGGCAGAGAAGAGGAGGTTAAAGAGGGACTGGGAACAAGTCAAAGTACCCCTAGTGCTCCCTCCTATGGGTAGCTCGTACCAACCTCAATCGATCTCAGCATCACCATCATCATCACCTCCTCTATCTCTCTCACAACTTACCCTTCCGTCACTCACCGCCCCATCACATGAGATAATCAACGTCCTCCCCGACTTCAACGCCGAGTCAAAAGAAACGAGTAGTGGAGGCGTGGGCACAGGCTGGGAAAACAGAAACATCCCCGAATCTCTCTACCTCTTAGCTTCTCCACCATCCACGTCACGTTTCTCTCCAAGATCTCTGCCCACATTCCAAAATCTCATACTCGATTACCCCCATCTCGCCAGAATATTCCCTAAAACGAGAAAACGGAGAAAGGTGAAATGTCCTTTGCCCCGACCGGGGGAGACTAGGCAGAACCCTCGGACATGGAGTAGACCTATAGAATTGAGCGATAGGTTGTTGAAGAGGACTTATGGACGAATATGGGAGAAGACGGTTTGGGTGAAACCTACTTGGAGTGTTCAAAAGTCAGGGAGGGATCCGGGTGTGCTTAATGATGGAAGAGAGAGGGAAGAGCAGATAGGAAAGGAGATGGAGGAGAAATGGGTGGAATGCGGATGGGAAGATGTTCGCTCTTTGCTGAGTTTATCTTCACGGGGACTGGAAGGAAATGGAGCGAGACATATTTCACGGAGTGGTACGTCGGAAAGTCGGGAAGATGACAATGAGATGGGGCAAGACGGGACGGCAGGCATCTTTGTGAGTAGACTTGGGGAATGCGATGAGCCGGAGAAGATGTTAATCGATGCTAGGAGTCATGGTGGGAGATGGAGCATCATGACTCCTGAAGAACAACAATGGGTGAGTACAGAATGAGACAATGACCATGTATCTCTTCATTCAACACTATTGATGTTCTTCTTGGTACAATCACCTTCAGTGTGTTTGTAGCCTCATCCCCCACGGCTGGTACTGCGATTTGATCCCTTCATCACGCAACAAACTCGCACGGTAGCTCACCACCAAACACTCCACTGTCTGATGCTGATACTTGGCACACCTGTCACGATGGGAGACTGCGAATGTCTATTTGATCGAAAACAATGTCATGCATATATCCTGGATTCCTCTTCTACGACTACGCCTATGACATATCCCCGGATCAGAGACAATTCTCCGCGGTGGGATAGCCTCCAGATCGACCGGTGTCCTATAGAGATCATTGCTTTTTCTTATCGTATCTCACATGAGGGTGTGGTTGCTGGTCTGTACGGATTGGGGTTGTGATCTCCAAGCTGTCATACTGACCTAGGCTCCCACCTTGTGACGTGGCTGGTCCATTGTTTGAGGGTAACATCATCTCCTCGTCAGTTTGGAAAGTCCTGTTACGCGTGAAAAGCCCGCTTTGCTTGGCGTGATAAACGGCGAGTCGGTAAAACATTCTGTGCCATGTCAGTTGATGAGATTCTACATGGGAGAGACGGTCAATGGAAGGAGAAAAAGATCTTGAGAATAAGGTAGGTTTAGAAAAGGTTAGCAAACTTACCCAACGGCAAGGACTCTTGCAGCATATCGTTTTCCTTCTTCCCAATCAGTTGGAATCTCTGACCCCATGGTGAGGTGCGCCCAACTGACCAAAGTACCCATACCTGCACAAAAGACGGCGGTTGAAAGGTGACTCATTGAAACGGGTCTTGAAGATGCATCATATTCACTGGCGTCGGGTTCAGGTGGATCAGTGGCAGAGACGGATTCTTTTGTGACGCTATTCCCCCTAGCTTTTACAGTGGGCTGGCCAGGGTGTGAACTATTGGTCGGAGAAGGCGCTATCACAAGACCTGCCTCTTCATCGGCTGGATGTAGGGAACGAGCAGAGGCAGCATCACCTGGATTGTTTGACATGTTTGCAGGTCGAGTCATACTTGAAATAGGCGAATTGATTAGTGGTGAATGATGATTGGGAGGAAGAGGAAGAGGAAGAAAGAAGCAACTTTCAAGTATGTTGAATGCTATGCAGGTCCGTGGGAAAAGTGGTTGCACAGCAAATATCCCGTGGGAAAAGCCGGTCTCGGGTTGTGGGTCAAACTTGATACATCTTGATCCGGAAATGATCAGTACGTGGGTAACTTTCAAGTGAGACCAAGGTCCGAAATTTCGACCTTACACTCGTAACATGTATGTTAGGTGCCGCACGGAAGACGTGCATCTTCAGAGACGCACAGTGTCGATCGTGCCTCCCTGAAGCCATGACACTTCAGAGTGGCACGGTTAACAAATCGTGCAGCTCTGAAGTAGCACGGTGGGCCGCCACTTCCCGATTCACCGGAAGTACCGCTTGCTAGATATTGCTGGAGTTGTTTGTCAACATCGACTAACAATAGAAATCATGACCTCCATGACAATTGTCCATTCAATCCTGAGTGCCGAGTTCGAGAGGGGTTTTGAACAATGGCTCATCGATCAACACTTCAGTCATACCATCTCTGACCAAGAATACAACAACCGACGATGGATCTTGGAGCATCCTGATCAAACTCCTCCTTTCACACCGCCCCATAATTCATGGATCACACGTGTACGCCAGCAACATCGCCTAAGTGAAGATAAACAAGATATATTGACTCAGCCTTTGTCAGGTTCAACATGGTATAAACTTGTTCCGGTTTCTCAGGTGCTAGGCAAAGTCAAACACGTTCACGCCAACATTGTCACACATTCAGGCCAGAATAAAACAAGGGCAGAGATCAGGGCACATTACCGAGGTATAGGGAAGAAAGAGATCAAAGCTGTTGTGGACGCTTGTAATGTTTGCCAATTAAAGTGGGTTCTTCATTCCTTCTTTGACACAATTTATTTCTCTTCCTGACAATGCAGAGCTCGTAGTAAAGACAAGGGAGAACTACAACCAATTGAGTCAAAGAACCCCTTTGAACGGATCCAGATTGATCTGATTGATATGCGAGCGGATGAGTGTGAGGCTCAGGGGCAGAAGTTCCGTTGGATCTGTCATATCAAAGATCATTTCACGAAGTATTCGCAAGTTGTAAGCAAGCATTCCGTCCTCTACTCATGAATGATTTGCTGATGCTAAAAGTACTCAATGCCAAAAAAACAGGCTAGATATGTGGAACAGCATCTTCTTTGTTGGATTAACCATTATGGTGCTCCTGACATTCTCCAATCAGACAATGGGCGCGACTTCTGTAATGTCTTGATCACGGACCTAGCCAATGTATACGGAATGAAAATCAAGCATGGCCTTCCCCGTACGCCACGTGTTCAAGGACTAGTAGAGCAAGCCAATGGAACGGTAAAAACACGGCTATCTAAATGGAGGCTTGAGAACCCTGAGCGTCCATGGTATGTTTCCCCTATGTCCCTCATGGAATGGAGAGTTGGCTGATCTGGACAGGGTGGAGGGCTTACCACATGTCATCCGGTCGATTAACTACACAAAACATAGTGCCACTCTGCATACTCCTCATGAAGCTGTATTTGGACGGAAACATCGAGAGATACAACTCTGGGGGTCAGATGAGGACCGGACAGTAGTGCAAGAGGTTCTAGATGGGGAGGATCGATCCTCCGACACTGAGGATGAACAGCTACCGCCTCAGGAGTTTCACTGGGAAGAGGATGAGAGTATTGCGCAGGGACCATCAAATAACAATGATGTAGATGGTACCATTGTAAATAATGGAACCAGTACATCATCTCACCCAAGAATATCAAACTCAAGTAAGTTGAATACTCAACTCAGCGTCTGTATGCAGCATGTTGATGAAGAAGTTGTTCCACAAAACAATCCACTCGACAATCTCTTTGATCCTGAACAGGACCGTGAACTGGAACGTCTACATCAACAGATGCGAGACAGGCAGGATGTGGTTCGACAAAGAATGATCACACAATATGGGAATGATCACACCCACTACCAGTACGAGGTTGGCAATAAGGTCACACTCTATATCCCCTCCATTGATCGACCAGGAGCACCAGCAAGCCGTTTACCCTGTCTAGTGTGTGAAGTATTCACTGCGCCCAATGAACCACAATCATACAGGCTTCTCTGTGAAGCAGGTGTACTTAGTCGTTTGTATCGGAGCAAAGTTCTCAATCCGGCGGACTACTTCGATATTCCTGAGGTAGTACATTGTGCTGTATTGCAGTGGAAGAATCAACCAGTGATCTCATTGAAAGAGGCCGCAAGGAAACTATTCCGTAAGTCCCTCCGGAGAGTCTGCGCTTATTGTAAAGGTCTATCAAAAGTGGAGATTCACTGCCGATGTAAGGGACAATGCGCTACAAGTCAGTGCAGGTGCAGGAAGAAAGGTGTAAAATGTTCTCTCTACTGTCATGGAGCTGAGCGGGAGTGTGCCAATTACTCTCGTGCGACCGCGACCGAGAAAACCTTTGTGGATGTTGATTCTGTGGGACCTGAGCCGGAGGAAAGTGCAAGGCCTAAGCGAAAGAAGCAGAAGAGAGGAAAGCGGAAGGATCCAACCCCAAGTGCACAAGAATCAAATAACTCAAGTGAGTTCCTAGATCATAGTTTACTGTTGACAATGAAGGTGACAATGAACATGCTTCCCAATCCGCTCCTCCAATCGAGCATACACCTGATCTTGGTGATACCAGTGACGGTAGTAGCCATCACACTACTTGGCCTGAAAATGGAGATAACTATGAGACTTGGAGCGAGGTTGAAGAGCGGGACGTCCCTCCCGCCTTCTGGCATGGCAAGAGCCCTTTAGAAGACTATTCAGCTTACCTTGGATCCCAAGATGAGTTATGGTTAGCAGAGAGCTGGGAAGCAGAAGGAAAAACATGGAGTCTTGACAAGCAAACACGTACTCTTGCTAGGAGGTACAAGGCATGGCTCTGGAAGGAAGTGATGACACATCACATGAAAAGTCGTCGGGGTGTTGCTCATCGAGGGTTTGGAGCTGATTTGGCTCAAACAATCACGCACATCAAAGGGGTGATTTTGGCCCGGAAGAAGTTCAAAGAGAAGTATGGGGTGCAGCTGCTTGGAGACCGAGACGGGGTGGGGAACCGTAAGAGGAACTGAGCAGAGCTTTCGCAGACATGAGGTTGCTTGCTAGGAGAGGAATGCATCATAATGAAAGTCAGGAAGGGTGTGTTGATTGTAGAACTGTATCCGGACTCATCTACAGGTCAATTACAAAGCATATTTATCCGGCCATGAACAATGTACTGTGTGGAGTGAGTAATTCGTGCAGCTCTGAAGGTGCACAGTTTTAGTCCGTGCATCTTCAGAGATGCACAACTCTTCAGCCTGGCACCTAATGCCTTCACGGGTCCCGTGCAGCTCTAGAGATGCACGTCTTCCGTGCGGCACCTAACATGTACATAACCATACAACTAACTCACATCCATATTACGCACGCACCATTTATCAGAATTCTCGACAACCTATCCAGGCCCAAACAAGGTGAATTTTGACGCGGAAAACGCCATGTCCATCCCGAGTTGAAGTTGCTAGGTTGTGTACCTCACCTCGCACTGTTAGGGTCACGGCCGCAGGATAAGGATAGCTTCAGGGTCATACGTACAGGTGGTACTGTTGTCAGCCGGAGACCGTGGAATCAGAGAATACCTGAAATCTTGACAGATCATCTTTGATTACAGGACAGGTTCAGTCTCCACCGCATGGAAGCGTCCACAATGCTGAACTCAAGAAATCATCGTTGCTTTCGGCTGACATGTTACACACATGGATGAATTTGCAGAATTCTTCCTGATGAGAATATACTTGTTCAAAGCAGCATCATCCTCTGACTTTCAGATCATCATGCATGCTCTGTAAGGCGCTATCGATCGAAACGTCTCCAAATTTAGAAAGTCAATTGAAGGATAAAGATGATGCATACTTCTATCTACAAGGGTTCATATATACAAACTATCTACGAGATGAATAACCACAAATTCTTATGGAATGAGACAGAAGAAGATCGTGGTGGAATGTGGTGGAATATGGTAGAAGGGAGGGAGAATGATCCACACGGATCTATACGGTTACTACATGCTCCCTCGTCTCCACTTTTTGCACCTCAGCAAACAAAGCTTTTACTATATTCATGATATAAGCAGACATCTCTTACAACACAAAATTTCGCTTTCACGATACACTTGTGGATTGACTCTGCACTTCAGGAGCTGTATGCTTTCGGGCAGGTCCGGAAAGGTTGGGTTTGAACCATGCACCTCTGAATCTGTCCGTCTCCGCTTGTATTTCTGCCATATGCGTTCATACCCGCTCACCCAGAACCGTAGCTTCAAGTCTTGTTTGTTGTTGTGAGGACCCCGAATTTTGAAACTGAGATGGATTTCTCAAAGTAGCTTCCAGATGTCTAACACATAGATGACAATCAACGGTTTTGATACTACAATACAATGCAAGATATGCCGAACTGTCAATCATCAACATACATACTTCTCTCAACGGCTTGTTGACGAGGCGTAAACAAGTCACTTACGCTACTGTGAATACCGTCCCCATTAGGTATAGCCCATCATTGGCTTCCGACCTTGGTTGTGTTATGATATTATGTACGTGACGCAGGGCCAGAATAGTGGCAGCCGTGGTAGCCATCGCAAATCGCGTTCTGTAAGTTTGAAAACTGTGAAGACTTTGGAGCAACGAGTCGGATGTGGTACTTGTGGTTGCATTATCAATGGGGGGAAGACCAGAGGAGTTGCCAATTCCTGTGGACATCCCTGCCGTTGGTGTGATTTCTGAGGGAGTTGGCATCGCAGATGGAGTTGTGACACTGGATTGATAGATTGTCTGTAGATGAGAGAACTTTATCAAGTCCGTGAGGATGGTACTACAAAGTTGATTGAATACTGAGAAGTGAGCAGGAAAGCTTGAAGGGGTTGGGAAAGAGACGTTTAAGTATGTTTTAGGCCCGTGAGAATGCACCGCCACTGGCCGAAAGGCTCAATGGATTGAAAAAAACCTCTTCCAAGATTTCTCTTCTTCTCATGATGTCATGGGACACATTGAGGAGGTTTGAGAAGCACTGGACAATACATAGCTTTGAAATACAGTACTCTACTGTACTAGAAAGCAGACTAGTACGTATCTGAGAGGGAACCACTAGCGGACAGGGTGGGATGAAGATGGCCCAATGGTCCGTAACCAGATCTTCCCATCAGTCATCTTATCCGTTTGTCTAATTGACCTCACAGTTTTATTCACTAGACTAGGTCTTGTTAACAGCTATGTAAAAGTGGGAATCCCCGATTGCATCCGTGCTGGTTGTACTACTCCTCCTCAAGCAGTACGGATGCTAAGTACCTTGGAGTGGACTCGAACCCCGGACTTTTCCTGCATCACTCCCCCTGCTTGGCTGTCCCTTCCTCGTACACAGAGGTAGGCTCCGACTGTTAATCTTGCTGGTTGTACTACTCCTCCTCAAGCAGTACGGATGCTAAGTACCTTGGAGTGGACTCGAACCCCGGACTTTTCCTGCATCACTCCCCCTGCTTGGCTGTCCCTTCCTCGTACACAGAGGTAGGCTCCGACTGTTAATCTGTTAACAGCTATGTAAAAGTGTGAATCCCCGATTGCATCCGTGCTGGTTGTACTATTTCCAACAGGTCTGGTTGAAGCAAGGACTAGAATGACACTTTTTCCGGGTGAAAAGACTAAAATAATATCAGGGACTAAAATGACATCAAAGGTCTAGAATGACAGGAGTCAAATTACATGATTCTTCACCCCTATCCACAAATTTTGAGACTTGATCCTTTCAAGATATTTCCAACCCCACAGGGATACTAGAAAGTGTCATTTTCATTGTGCAGTGACCAAAATTTTCTAAAAGTGGTGATGTCATTTTAGTCGTTTGATGTTATTGTAGGCTGTGATGTCAATTTAGTCTTTTCACACAGAAAAGGTGTCATTCTAGTCCTTACCTCGGATAGCCTGCTTATGAGTGGGATGTAAATCATAAGTATAGAGACATGTAGAATGAAGGCATGTTCTCTTCCCCTTTCCCTACTCATCTGATTTTACTTAAACATGAAATTCCCAGTCGCCAAAGAAGCTCGGTGATTCTCAGTCCGAGAAGGGTACATTGTGGTTTCTGACACGGTCGGAAATGCAGTGAGAGATGAGTTGAGACATCTCAAATGGGAGAGGTAGTACAAAACCCTGTTGGTTATCTGGTTACACAGCAGTATCACATGAGAAAAGTCAGATCTCAAATGTCCGTTCTAAGCACGTCTTACATGAGAAGTGGTCAATACATCAAGATGATTGGGGCATATATCAAGATTCTTGACCCATTGTTTCACTTGTAACCTGTTCATTGTATGGTGAAAAGGGAGATGAAGGATATGTTAGCTGATAGAATCGGGCCAGGACGGCCGAACCGCCGTTAGATTATTACCCCTTCCATCAAATATTTCTCCGTTCAACTTATCCTCTGAACTCTATTTGATCGTCGCTGGTTTAATGTGTGTGAGTGGAATGTGATAAGTATAGAGACATGTAGAATTGATGCATGCTCTTTCTCCCCTCTGTATTATCATCTAATTATCAGCAAACAGGATACAATTGCTAAAGCACAAAGTGAGATAGTTACCAGAAGAAATATAGGTAAGGGGATAGTCGTGAAAGGGGATTGGAAAATACCTGTAAATGCCAGTGACGCACGTAGATGATGAAGATTAAAAAGTACAGTACATAATACTTGTTAGGGACAGGGCCGAAGACGGACCCCTCCGGGGCTGCACGGACCTACCGGTCCCAGCCAGAGAAGATCTTACATTTGGTGGAGGAAAAGTGTGACTAAAACAGGTGCTCAAAGCATTATCCATGGTGTTCCTCATATACCCACGAGAGAAGGGACCATTCAATATGACCACATGTCATCATAACTGTATCAGTTGCGGAATGGTTGAGTTGTCCCTAATGAATGCAAGTCTGTTTCCTTTTACATATGTAGATCCATACAGACATGTTAGTGAGACATACCAAACATCATCTAGGAAGGAGGAAATGTGATGTCCACAGGGTCAAGGGTACCCACCTCAGATCTGCAGAAAATGCTTTGAGTGGGACTAGACACCTCCGGAGGTGCACATTTCTCCCGCTGTGTCCAAAGAGGGTATTTTGAACTGTGCAGCTCCGGAGGTAATCATCTCCGGCTGTGTCCCTAACACATCAATCAGCGGCTTGTATGCTCACTCAGCAGGGAATGAGACAACAAGTCCAAACCTAGACCTCCCTGCCTGAGCCCAGTACTTGAGTTTATCAAAGGAAATTAGTATGTGTTAGGTGCCGTACGGAAGACAGGCCACTTCAAAGTGTCATGGGTCTGACCGTGCCAGACCAAAGATGTGACTCACAGAAGAAGGATCACCATTTTATGGGAAACACTTGCAGGTCCAAATCAACTTCACAGCTGTAATAAGATGGTCCTCATCTGTTCTCTGTCAAAAAGACGAGGGAGTGAGTTATTGTCACGCGGCACCGAGTGACATCATCTTTCCCCATCAACAAGGTTCCTTTGGACATCAGTTCGCCATCAACGATCCAGTTCTCATGAACTTCATCACCCACGAGGGTATTAGGAGGCTAACTTCGTCAAGGGCGAAGTTAGTCAGATACAAAGTTAGGGGGATACGAAGTTAGGGAGATACAAAGTTAGGGAGATACGAAGTTAGGAAGATATGAAGTTAGGGAGGCACAAACTTCGTCGGGGACGAAGTTCGTAAGGTACGAAGCTTGGGACTTCGGGTTGAACGAAGTTCTGCGTTGAAGAAGTTAGGGAAGGATGAAGTACTTAAGGGCCGAAGTTCCCAGAGATCTTTGACAATCTCTGGTTGTTGTCTTAGTGATAGAAGTTAGTAAAGTACGAAGTTATTACACCCAGAAGTTATTGTCACCTATTTCATATTTTGAACAACGAGGTAGTTAACGGTCGAAGCCCACAAAGTTATTGGCCGTCGGTCCTAGCTAGTTAACAGAGAAACAACCCTGTGACAGTACCAGAGATTGTCCTTACCGACTCTCCAGTAACTCGTGGGAAGATACATGTGGACTAGAGGAAAAGAGAGAGAGAGAAGAACGGCTGAAGCAATGTTGAGGAACGAACAGGGAGATAATCAAGGTAACCTAGAACCTCACGGTTCTAGGGATTTGTCTTTTCTCTCCCAGCCACCTTCTGACGCATACTTGGGCGATCCATGGGTTGAGGAGGGTGATCAAGGGAGGAGATTAGAGGAAGAAGATGGGGGGTCAACTGGTGGAAGAAGTTCGTATACATCGCAACCTAGGGGAGGGAACTCACCGGAGAGATTTAAAGAAGATATTAGAGATGGGATGTTGGTGGAAATGATCAGAGCTATGAAGGAGTTGAAGGCTGCTGACAACCAGAAGAGTGAAGCTCTGACAGAGATAGTACAAGAACTTCGTCGAGGACAGCGGGGAACTAGAGAAGGGTCGGCGACAACTTCGTCAACTCGAGCGCCAAAACCAAAGGACCCGGACGAATTCGATGGGTCAAGAGAGAAACTCACTGGGTTCTTGACTCAGTGTTCGTTGGCGTTGAGTGTGATGAAGGATAGGTTTGAGAGTGAGGAGCAGAGTGTGTTGTGGATGGTAGGGTTCTTAAGAGGGGTTGCACTGCTGGCGGTGCAGCCTCATCTACTTTCTACTCCTCTTCCTCCTTTCCTCTCAAAACGTTCTGAGTTTGCTGTTTGGATGAAAAAGAACTTCGGTGACCCAGATAAGAGGGGTACGGCTATCCGGGGTTTGAGAGAATTAAAACAGAAGCAAGGGAAGGCATCAGCGTATTTCGCTGAATTCCAAAAGTATATCGCGATATTGGGGTGGAGTGAGGAGGAAATGTTAGTGGCTCAGGCTATTAACAGATTAGACGAAGTTATGAAGGACGAGCTTTCCCGGAGAGAGGAGATTGGGACTATGGAGGAGCTGAAGGCAGTGGTGATCAAATTGGACAATAGAATGACTGAGCGTTGGGTGGAGAGACAGGCTAATGGGCAGAAAACAAACTGGGGAAGAACGCCTAACTTCGCACAATCAATGGCGAAGTTATCGACGACACCCGCGAAGAATCCTGTGGGCGCGGTGCCGCTTTCTCCCCCAAGTAGGAGTAACTTAGTGACAGGATCACAGGTTTGGAAACAAGGGGATCCTCTTACCCCTAGGCCAAGTTTTGAACAGAGAGAAAAGTGGAGGGACAAACGAGCGTGGTTGGAGTGTGGAGGCCAGGGACACTATGTGAAGGATTGTCCTTTAGTAGCGGCTAAGGTAGCTCAAGGAAAGATGAATCCTCCTGAGATGTGGAAGAGCTCAAGGAATAGGGGAACAGGAGGGAATGCAGTAGCGGTGGGGGAGCCGAGGCAGATGAATGCGGTAGCAGGAGAGGATGTGGATGAGGAAAAAGGCCTGGACCCGTCGGTTTGAGAGAACGTCGGCGGGTCCATTTCTCTGTCCTCTCTGCTATTGTTCCTTCTGATATCAACAGGAAAGAGCTGACAGTAGCAGAACCATGTGTATACGAAGACGGACATTTCATCACAATACCCATCACTAATGCGAGACAACCGAAAACAAAAATCAACGTTAAAGGGGCCCAGGTGGTTGCCTTATGGGATTCAGGAGCGACTTTGTCTTCATCTACTAGGACCTGGAGAGAATCAGCGGAATTTCGTCTTGTCTCTTGAAATGAACTCACCATTTGGTCAATCTCTGCAGACAATATCTCTTCATACTCCTTAAGCTTTGGTAAGACAATCTCGGAATAGCGAGGGGCATTGAGTCCTCCAGGAGGAGGAAGAATGAGAGGGAATTTATGATTATGTGCCATAGCACCCCTACCCATGATAGACTTCCTCCCAGATTGAAATGTTGGTTGATGTCACGGTCCTGTCCTTGACAGATCTCTATAGATCAAAGACAGGTGGACTGCAACTGTTTAATTAGCTTGAACAACGACGGTCAGTATGTTGTTCGTGAACTTGTGAAAAGGTCGGACGACTAGAGTGACTTGCGAAGGATCCGGGCAAGTCGAGATGATGACAAGGGTATATGTGATGGCGTGGCCAGGGGTTTTGTCGATGAAAGATGTGTTGAAGATAAGTATTATGTCAAGAAGAGAGATCTTTGTGAAGTGGCAAATAATATTTTGATCCTTGAGAAAAAGAAAACTACAAAGTAGATACGTGCTCCTTTTATACCTTTCAGAGGGATTCAGAATGAGCTTTTCAATGAGTCGACTCATTGACTCATTCTTGTCTCGTCTCTCCTTTTCCCCTATAACCTCATTATCTCATTGCGTCTCAATGAGTTCTCAATGAGTATCAATGAGTCTCAATGAGTATCAATGAGTCTCAATGAGTATCAATGAGTCTCAATGAGTCTCCAGGGTAACTCACCGAGTCTCATTGAATTCAGGGTAACTCAATGAGTTTTGATGAGTCATGGTGGCGCGACTCGTCCGAGTCGTGACAGTTGAAGATGTTTCAAATCAAATGCCTGTCCAACTCCTCAAGTTGTATAAGCACGCCTTGCAAGTCTCAACTCCAAAGACATCTCATCTGTGAAGATAACTCGACTCCAATCCTGTCCTACATTATCCTTTGCCCAATTGATCCGCTTTTTGATTGCTTGTGGGCGTAAGAAAGGGGTACGGCGCATGACTCGGCGGTGGAGACCATGTCTGGCCGCAATGCGGCGGATGGTGGGTTCACTGAGGTTGTATGTGGAGGCAATAGAGCCATAGGGAACTTGGGGATGATGGGTGATATCATGGATAATTTGACGAGTAGTTCTTTCCATCTTGGAAGGGCGTCCTTGGCGTGGGCAATTGTAGGCGGTGTCATATTGTTTGTATCTTTCAACTGTATATTGGACCTTAGATCGAGGCCAGCCTAGCTTGCAAGCAATCTGACCAAGTGTGAGGCCAGCTTTGTGAAAACCAATGACGGTACCATGTTTGGAAGGGGTTCGAGGGATAGTGACCATGGTGAGGAAGATGGGTGGAGAGGAAACCCTCTAGTACCCTTCTTATGCACTTTCTTGCTTCCAAATCTTGCATTACACCTCCACCTCGGTCATGACTATCATTATTCAGCAATGCATGCATCAGCACGTAGCATAGGGGTCATAGGAACGGGGGATGTGACAGGGGTCAAGGACAAAACCGGGTGGTTGAGGTGTCTCCAATGATCGGTGTACGGAAACTTTTGACAGCGACTGTACATTCTGCATTTGGAGTCGTGTGCTATTCTCATCCGGCACGCGTCTTACATATGTTAGCCGATAGGATCGGGCCAGGACGGCCGAACCGCCGTTAGATAATTACCCCTTCCGTCGAATATTTCTCCGTTCAACTTATCCTCTGAACTCTATTCGATCGTCTCTGGTTTACTGCGTGTGAGTGGAATGTGTTAAGTATAGAGACATGTAGAATTGATGCATGCTCTTTTTCCCCTCTGTATTGTCACCTAATTATAAGCGAAACAGATTTGGGCTGAAGAAGGGACGTTCGGCTTGAATTAGAAAATCAATCAATCGAGAGCACGTAACGATGAATTTTGGGTGGCGAAGGAGAGGTGATGAGTAAAGGGAGAGAAGGATTATATGTCAATCCGTCCCGTCCACACGGCCTTCCGTGCGTGTTCTGACTTTCAAATCCGTGTGAACAGTACAGCTTCTAGATATGTTGGGTGCCACACGGAAGATGTGCCACTTCGAAGCATCACCGGATTGATGGTGACAGGCTCAAGCGCTTTGAAGTATCACGGGCTGAAGTTGTGACACTTCAAGGTGTCATGACTTTTGTACAACTATATTTGGAAAATTTTGAGATCACTCCTGCTACTCACTTCTGATAAAAAGGGGCATCCTGTGGTATCTGAAAGTCCTCTGAAGCGCTTTGAATTCATGACTTGGATGATCTCATGCATAGGAGGAAGGACTTAGGTTTCAAAACTGGAGTGCTGATATCTGTTAGGTGACAGACGGACGACCGTGACCCTTCGAAGCTGCACAGGGGAGGTGGTGATAGACTGAAGATTCATGCTGCTTCAAAGTGGCATGACCATTTGAGCCATGACCAGTGGAAGATTTCAGCTACACCAATCCACACCACCCCTCATGGCCTCAGACTTGGAGAAAGATATCTTCAGAGCTGGCTTCATGCCACACATTTGACATGGCAAAATGACGTGCATGGAGTGATTTCTACCCTCCTGAAGCTTGCATCTTTGAGGACACACGGATCCTCTGATCTTCATGCTACCCGGGTAAGAGCTGTCATGCATGATAGATTTAGGTCACTCAATCATGATGAGGCATCAAGAAGTGTCCTGTGAAGTGTCATGTGTGGTGAGGGTGATTTCTTCCATGTGTCATGTGTCATGTCTTCAGTCCGTCAGGGGGAGAAATCCGTGCAGCTTCGAAGTGTCACGGCTTCGGTCCGTCACGTAACATATGAAGAGGGACTGGGATAGTGAGAGCTAGAAGTGCTGGCTGGGCTTGGACCAACTGTGTTGACAAATAAAGAGGAGATTTGTACATAACTGAAGAAATTACTGAGAAGTACAAGTTTATATGAACTAAAGCTTGTCACCGTCTTCAAATACCGTTTGTCACCTTTGACCACCTGTAGCTACCATATGTAACTACCATCTGTAATTACCTTATGTAACTACCGTTTGCAAGTACAGCTGGCACCTACAGTTTGCACTGACCTTTTCAATCCTAATCAATTCTGAGTCCCTATTACTTTGACCCCATACTTGTTCTAAGTTCTGATCTTAATTCATGATAACAAGGGACTGTTCAGTCCGTTCCTGGAAAGTCCAAGAGCTACCTTTCAGTATGTATTTCTGTCATGGGCAGGAGTGAGTCAGTATTTTTACCGGGACTCACAAGCCCTGCACTACTTGCATAGCTACTCTGGCTGTGAGGGCCCAGGGATAGGTGGTGTGAGAGTTGGACACTGACACCCTGCTGGCTGCCTATCTCTCTTTGTGACACCTGCATAGTCACATGTGCTCATGTTGTTGAGCGTCTCAAATATTTGTGTCACTCATGCCTCATGCAAAATTATCACCTACTAACCATCCTTTTCACCTCTGTCACAATTGTCGTTTCCTCTCCTCTAATGACCGACGGTCAACAAACCTCCTCCTTTTTCCTCCATTCTCTCTCAGACCCTCTTTGGTTTCCTTGGTACACTCTTTACTTACATCTGCTGACCTTTGATCATTGCTGACTAGTATTACCCACATCACAGAGTTCCAACTCAGTATCCAGCCCTACGGATAGGTTCCCTTTATTTATTTGTGGTGATCCTCACAAGCAGGATCATTACAGTCATCACAAATATTCCTTACAGACGGTTGTTGCAGACAATAGTTACAGGCAGTACTTGCAGATGGTGACTACAGTTGGTAAGAACAGTTTGCAAGTGTCACAAGGACCAACTAACCAGCATTGGCTCGATATAACAGTGCCCAACGGAACAGTGATGTTAACCACTGCGACAAAAAGGCCTATTAATCGGTGGTTAACCCTACCGCCGATTGCTGGTTAAATACCCTTCCCCAACTTTTCGCTCGACTTGTCTCATCCTTTGTGACATTATGCACTCTCTTGGGCCCCCGCATGGGGCCCCACACTGGGAAGGGTACGACAGACCGAAAACTTACTCCAAGAGGGAGGTTTTCCAAGTAGGGGCTGAATTACCCCCGGCGCCGTCCGGGAGTTGAACCCAGGACCCTACCCGTAACCGCCGATTAATCTGTCACGAGGACCAACTAACCAGCATTGGCTCAATATAACAGTGCCCAACGAAACAGTGATGTTAACCTGATTTGGGAGGAGGCTGCTGTGCACAAGGCATCGTGCCCAGTGCTAAAACAAGCCTACTATAAGAACTATAGCATGAATGGCTTGCACAGACTCATGTACAAGGGGAACCGGAGTGCCCGGAGAAAACCCCTTGGTCGGCATGGGAATTAAACCCATGACCACATTACACTGATAGTTCCCATTCCACCATCAATGACTAGCCAGTTTAACCACTTAGCCGTTTAACCACTGCGACGAAAAGGCCTATTAATCAGCGGTTAACCCTGCCGCCAATCGCTGGTTAAATACCCTTCCCCGACTTTTCGCTCGACTTGTCACATCCTTTGTGACCTTATATTTCCCCCCGTGCTAAACTGTCACGGCCGTCGTTTCTTCTGTTCTACTGACCGACGGTCGACAAACCTTGGCTAACTACGTTGTAGTGGGGCGTCGATGTCTCACTAGGACAGGGTACTCGTCGGGGAACTACGGCTAACTTCGCCGTAGTAATACGTCAAGTGGCAAATGATAAGGTGATCGTCAATGAACTGCGGCTAACTTCGCCGTAGTGCGTCAAACTGCTCGGTGGTAGCTCTCCCTAACTCGATGGTTGTAGCTACTGAATATATCTCTTGCTACTGACAACAATCAAGGATTGCTGAAGAAGTTCAGTGATCTGTAAACTATCTATACTTCCCCTCTCTTCTCATAGAACATCCCTCAACTCCTGCACAGCCCCGCGCTCAGTCCTCTTCGCTCAACTTCGCCGTACCTCCACTAGTCGGGGTTATCGTGACAAATACCCTCTAGGGTCTCGTATCTTTGCCGTAGTCAGTCTCAGTGGTTCGGGTGGTGGTTGGTGATGGTGAAAGGAGGGTCGGTGATGGTGGTTGTCAGGGATGTTACGACGTGGTTCGTGACAGCAAGTCCGGACTGCAATGACCATTTGCTATACTTGACCTGCAAGCTCTTCTAAGATATGGTATGACACTATACATCTGTTCACATACATGGGTTACGACAGGGTTGTAACACACAGAGGAAGCAAAAAAGGCAGAAACACAATGGACCTACTGTATCAAAGGAGAAGACAACTTCATCTTTCAAGGGTATGTTCCATTGTGTTCTAGTGTACAAGCTTGAATGGATAAAAAACCTTTTCCGAGTAAACACAAATTTTGCCCCTAAGGAATGCAGCTTTCCTCTGTCCCCCACCTCCATCTCATCCTCTTGAGTTTGATGTCCTTCTACCCTGGTTGTTACCTTGTGACAATGACCTCTGTGGCTACTGTGAGTACATAGTGTCACAGAGCTCAACAAGCTTAGCAGGGTCATTGACTAGTTTCATTCATTTTTCCTACACCCAGGACTCCTTTGCTGCTCTGTGTTGTTTGACCTCACTACCTGTGCTTGAGGATTGGTGACTGTAGCTAATGAGCGGGATTTGAAACTGACAACATGGGCTTTGAGAGTGGCCAGACTGGACCCAAGGAGGGCCAGACCAGCTCCCGTGTTTAAGTTTTTGATTGATGACGAATAATGTAGACCCAGCCATAGTGTGAATACACTCAAAGCTGTATAGCGTTCAATGCTATGTATCAGCAAAGAGTCCACATTCCCTTATTCCATAAGGCAAGGAAAGCCAGATGGATGTAATCAGGAGGCTGGCTAGCTGGTTTGGACTCACGAGGCAAGATCGAGGGACACATCTGGTGAGTAAGCTTGCGTTACGGATTTAGACTTATCGACATCATTTATCTGGACTTGACTTTGATCCAGTGCAGCGGCCAGCATTCGGAGAAGGGAGACATATGCTATACTCGCTACCAGTCCCAATGTGTAGGAGGAGCCAAAGGACAGCCCATCATGAGACATTGGGAGGGGTTGGTCCTCGGACTTCTCACTGCCCCGTCCCATAGGGCCAAATTCCAGGTCCGATTTATGATGATGTCGTGGTCGTAGCCTCCACTGCTGATCAAGAACAAACCTTCGTTCAGATCCGTTCAGACGGGTAAAAAGTGAGCTGAAGACAGAGTGAGCCGCTACTGCGGGGGCAGCAAAGGGGGTCATGGCCAAAACTGTTATCCTGCAAATTCATTAGCATCCATTCCCTGTGATCCGAGACAGTCTTCCTCTCAAGTTACTGTCATCCGTGGGAGTCTTTGTCTCCGTGACCACAAGCAGGAGCGTCAGAACAGTGTGAGAGGAAGAGAGCACTCACACATCCGTAGTTGCGCAAAGACTCGTTTTTTGGGGGAACAACTGAGACATTACTAAAGGAACGATGCCGCATGTAAGGACCGCGAGGCCGTCCATATTCCGCCTCGCCAGGGCGTCTACAGCTTTAACAAGCTTCCGGATTTCAGGTGACGAGTCTCTGGAGAATCCCAAGGAGCTAGCGGTGGCGAGGGCACCTGCGTTTCCACTTGCAAGAAGGGGAACGGGAGTCGAGCTCCCTACGAGGGAGCTCGCCGGAGGGGGGTTCATGATCCGGCAGTGATTGCGTGCTGATTGGTGGGGGTTCAGTATCACCCAAACTAGGAAGCAAGATGGACGGGTTTTAAGAGAAAAGGGTGAAGGTTTTGAAATGGTGTTTATATGGTAAGACTTGTTGACCACCCAGTTCTCTTCTTTCCCACGGAATGAATGGAGGAGGCCAGAGGGAAGGCTCACTCCGTGGGAATAACATGAAGGCGATGCTCGGTTCGACGCCATGGGGAGAACCGAGGTCAGGACTAGAATGTCATTTTTTCGGTGGGAAGAGAAGGTTTATGTTTATGAATGGGAATGAGTATTACACGCAGAGCCACCAAGCGTATGACAGATGAACGGAAGGGAGGAGAGGAGAGGAGAAGTCAAGCTGCAATCCGTGTGAACTGCGGTTTTTTGAAACGTTCTTGTATACCTTAAGTGAAGAGGTGAAAAGAGAAGCTTATAAACACGAATCTGGATAAGCTTTCACATGCACAGCCACCAAGGACAGGACCAACAAAGGGAAGCTGTAGTTTGATCCGTGTGAAATTTGGCTTTGACAAACATTTGTACCACGGTGCAACGAAGGCGCACAATTGTTAGCCGATAGAATCGGGCCAGGACGGCCGAACCGCCATTAGATAATTACCCCTTCCGTCGAATATTTCTCCGTTCAACTTATCCTCTGAACTTTATTCGATCGTCTCTGGTTTACTGCGTGTGAGTGGAATGTGATAAGTATAGAGACATGTAGAATTGATGCATGTCCTTTTTCCCCTCTGTATTATCATCTAATTATAAGCGAAAACAGATTAACAGTCGGAGTCCACATACCTCTGTGTATAACTAAGGCAAGTTCCTACTTCTACTCTTCTCATTATGACCTCTGTGTCGACTAAGATTTCGTTTGAGAATCTCCCCAAGTTATCCTACGATCCATCAACGTATGCTTTGTGGAGGAAGGCGATCGAGGTGTATCTACAGATAGGCGACGTATGGAATGTCGTCTCAGGTAATGATACCGAACCTGGTCGCGTAGGGGTTAGGCCGGCAGCTGAGAGGGCGGGATCAGTACCTCCTACCACGTCCGTCGAAGGACAAGTGGTTGGTAGAAGGATTACTGGAGAAGAGTTGAAGGAGTGGGAAAAGTGGCAAGCGAGGGAGAATAAAGCGCAGGGGATGATCAAGGGAACAGTGACGGAAGCTGTAATGCTTGATTTATCTGAGAAGATGTCAGCTAAAGAGATGTGGGATTACTGCTTGAAAATGCACGTAACAGCCACGAACGAGAATCAGAGGAACGTCCGTCAAGCATTATTTAGCTATGACTTGAGGGAAGATGCGACGGCCGAAGAGATGGCTAAGCATGTAGAGGATTTCTCCAAGACAATGGCTGAAGCGAAGTTGGTAGGATTGAACTTTGACTCACAGGAACGAGCAGGTCTATTCCTCAATACCATCCTAGCACCAGCATACGGGATCATCCACGTAGAACTTATGTCCGTACCCAAAGAGGACAGGACCTGGGACAAAGTGTTGTCGATCTTTAACGCAGAAACGGTGAGACGTAAAGCGCGCCCTGTTGGTAGGACCAATAGAAAGGGATTCGCAATGTTCGCCGAAAGGGATAAAGGAATGAGGGTGAACCGAGATAATATCTCTGATGGTCAGCCCAGGAAAGAAACCAGAAAGTGTTATAACTGTGACACTGTAGGACATCTAGCGTAGTACTGTCGTAAACCTAAAAGAGAGGATACGAACAGGAAAGAAAACACAGATGGAAAGGATGGAGGTAAAAAGAAATGGAGGAATAATAAGAATAATAAGAAAGGACATACGGTCTCGAAGGATGAGAACCAGTCCAAGGATAACTCCAAAACCTCCTTGATGTATTCGTCATTGGATGGTGAACATGAGGCATGGGCCGGGATGGCCATGTCGACAGAATCATGGTTCGATGATGACGAAGGGTACACGTGTAACATCGTATGGCCCGAAGAAATTGAAAACCCGTGGGTTGAGGATAATGAGTGGGTGGGATTAGCTACAGAGTCTAATGACGTAAGCCACACTCGTGTAATCCCCACCTGGGTAGTGGATAGTGGTGCTACTCACCACATAACTCCTCACAGGTCAATAATGACGAACATTAAAAGACTAGTGGAACCGAGAGTGTTCGGACTAGCATCTGGCAAGTCAATGACGGCTTGGGAAACAGGTGACATTAACCTTGAACTAGATTCAGGACAGAAAATGGTACTGAAAGATGTACATCACGTCCCCACAGCAAAGATAAGTCTTCTCTCCCTTTCGAAGTTACTCTCATGGGGGTGGAAGGCGAATCTAAGCAGCGGTGGTGGATGGATAGGTAAAGGTAAAGAGAAACTAGGTTTGAGAAAACATGACTCACTGTGGTCGGTACGATTCGGCAGAGCAATGTCTGCCGCGATGATCGTTATATCGACACCAAAGGCGACTTCACCCCTCGAGTCTGAACATCAGCGACTCGGACATATAGGTGTAGACAAACTAAAGAGTCTAGGTAGACAGGGACTATTGAAGAAGAATTGGGACACTTACAAGAACGATCCCCTTACGACTGATAAATGTCCCGCCTGTATGCAGGCCAAGATAACATGTCTACCAAAGAACAAAGAAGCACCAATGTTAAAGGGAGATGGTGAAGGAGTAGGAATGGATGTCGATATTACTGGACCGTTCGGTCCGGCGATGAAAGGAGAACGATATTTCTTTGTTGGTGTGGAAAGGGCGAGTCGAATTGTATTTGCTGTACCAATAACGACAAAGAATGAAGCGTCTGACATCGTTTGACAGTGTATCTCCAAATTGGAGAAACAGCTTGGTGAAAGGGTGAGGGTGATCAGGTCTGATGGGGGAGGTGAATTCGATAGTCTTGACATGGTGGAATTCTACCCGTCAGCCGGGATCAACCACTACATCACACCAAGATACACACCAGAATTAAATGGAGTGGCGGAAAGGATGATACATACCTTGAAGGGGATGGTATCAACGATGTTATTTGACTCGGGACTACCGAACGAGTATTGGTCCTACGCTGTCAGATACACCACCATTATAATTATGAAAACATTGATTGGTATCAGTGGTAAATCGGGTTGGACATCACTCACGGGAAGAGACACCAATTTAGACAGTGTGTGGAGATTTGGTGAACAATGTTTTGTTCAGATACCAAGAGAAATCAGGTTGAAGTCAAATTTCACAATACCTAAGGGTTCATCAGCCATTATACTAGGTCAAGATGAAGGTGTGAGCGGTTGGATCGTTAGAATGGACGGATCAGGACGAATCAAACACTCACGAGACATTCGTCGCTTGACAGGACGAATGGTGACTACTGGAGAGTCGCCAGATGTCATCCAAACCCCTCTTGACGCCATCGAAGTGAACCTAGACCCCGTCGTCAACAAAGAAATTTTCCCTGACGACCGATCAGAAAGTGGCGAACAGGAAAATCTCGATAATGAACAAGGAAATGATATTGATAGAGATGACCCACCTAATACAGGCCCACAACCTACTGAAAGATGACGTGGACAGGGCATCTGGGGAGGAAATTGGATCTATGAAAACGATATCGTGGAAAATGAGAGAAATTGTCACGAACTACGTTGTAACATCCCTGACCACCGACCCTCCTTTCACCATCACCGACCTCCACTCGAACCACTGAGGCCAACTACGGCGAAGTTACGAGAACCAAAGGGGGATTTGTCACGATAACCCCGCCTAGCGGAGAACTACGGCGAAGTTAGGGGAAGGGAACCGAGGGAGAGCAGAACAGAGGAAGTTAGGCGAAGTTAGTCAAAGTGAGCGGAGTAGGATATCGGGGATATGGCGAGGTACGGCGAAGTTGAACGAAGAGGACTGAGCGTGAGGCAGTGCAGGAGTTGAGGGACGTTCCATGAGAAGAGAGGAGTAGTATAGATAGTTTACAGATCGCTGAACTTCTTCAGCAATCCTTGATTGTTGTCAGTAGCGAGAGATATATTCAGTGGCTACAACCTTCGAGTTAAGGAGAGCTACCACCAAGCAGTTCAACGTACTACGGCGAAGTTAGCCGCAGTTCATCGACGATCATCTTATCATTTTACCACTCGACGTATCACTACGGCGAAGTTAGCCGTAGTTCCTCGACGAGTACCCTGTCTTAGTGAGACAACGACGCCCCACTACGACGTAGTTAGCCGAGGTTTGTCGACCGTCGGTCAGTAGAGAAGAAGAAACGACGACTGTGACAGAAATGATGACAATGGAAGAAATGATGGGGACGAGGGGATTGTGACGACACGTCACGGACAAATTATTCGATCCCCCCACCATTTTGCAAGCCTAACAGACTTGTTCCTATAGTTCGGTCGCGAGCCTAATAGGTTAGTTGCACTCACCTCTATCCCAGGTATTGAACACGACATTTCTCTCATCGATCCTGTCTCTCCTGAAGAAGCAGGGAACGGGCCAGATGGTGAGAAATGGCTAGACTTTGTGGAGAAAGAGATATCAAACATAGAATCTAAGGATACATGGGTGGAAACGATACTTCCACCGGGGCGAAAAGCCATTGGATGTAAATGGGTATTCAAAGTGAAGACAGATTCTGAGGGAAACCTACTAAAGTACAAATCTGTCACGAACTACGCCGTGACACCTCAATTATCCCACCATCAACGACCCTCCTTTGACCATCAAAACCCCTATCACCTCTTAACCTCTTCACTCTACACGTAACTCAGGACATCTGAGACCAACTACGGCGAAGTACAGCGGGAGAATAAGGTATACCGGGGTCTGGAGCATGAGGGCGGCGAAGTGCGGCGAAGTTAGACGGAGTTACACTAAGTAGGGACAATGGGAGTAGAAGTACGGCGAAGTTAGACGGAGTTAGGCTCAGTAGGGACAATGGCAGCATAGGTACGGCAAAGTTAGACGGAGTGAGGCTAAGTAGGGACAATGGGAGCAGAAGTACGGCGATGCTCGGCGGAGTTATTCAAAGAAGGAGAAGGACGGACGGGGACTCGGAGAAGTTGGACGAAGTGCGTTGAAGTACGTCAAAGCGCGAGAGGGTTGGGTGAACATCTAGGAGGAGGAGATAATATTAGCTGAGAAGATCGCTGAAGTTCTTCAGTGATCCTTGATTGTTGTCAGTAGTGAAAGATTGATAGAGATAGCTACATACAAATTAAGATACATCATCATCAGAGAAAAACCCCAGTTAAAGTAACTACGCCGAAGTACGCCGTAGTTACACTCCTTTTGACGTCTGCGCCCTCCTGGTTGGGTGAGACATTGACTTAGAAGCGTCAAGTTAGCCGAGGTTTGTCGACCGTCAGTCTGTTAGAGAGAAGTGTTCGACGGCCGTGACAAAATCCAGACTAGTAGCTCAAGGATTCTCACAGATACCAGGTGTCAATTATGAAGAAACATTCGCACCTGTAGGTCGCTCGGGGTCGTTGCAAATACTCATGACTATAGCGGCCACCGAAGATCTCAAAATTCATCAGGCCAATGTTGAAGGGGCGTATTTAAACGGTAAACTCGATGTCAAAATTTATATGAAGTATCCTAAGGGGATAAAACCGAAACCCGGATGTAACACCTTGAAGTTGATAAAGTCAATTTACGGTTTAAAACAATCGGGTAGGACATGGTGGATAGAACTCGGGGAAGGATTATCTCACCTAGGTTTCTCAAGAATCGAGACAGATTGGCGTCTTTACTATAGACCAAAAGGGAAAATCGAAGGAAAGGGAGCAGCAACACTGCTAGCCTATGTCGATGATCTAGTATTAGCCACAAAATCGAAGGAAGAAGCAAAGGAAAACTTTGATGGGCTAGGAAAAAGGTGGATAATAACCACCCTGGGGGAGATAAGTACCATTCTAGGTATGAAAGTAACAAGGGCAGAAAAGAAAAGACAATATGGTTAAACCAACCAGCGTATATTGATAAGATAGTTCAGAAGTTCCCTGAAAACGACTAACATCAAGATAGAAAAACACCATTACCCCTCACTGCGAAAAATCCATTGATGTCGGAGGTGGAAAGTGAAATTTGACCATTTCAAGAGTTGATAGGATGTCTACAGTGGTTAGCCACATGTACACAACCCGACATATTATATGCAGCCTCATACCTTGCTGGGTACCTCACCAAACTGACAAAGAAAGTGTGGGAGGAAGGAATAATGGTAATTACATACCTTCGATCCACTCGGTCACATGGTATTTGTCTCGGTGGCGAGGCTAGCAATCTAGCAGGATGGGTTGATGCAGATTGGGCAGGTTGTAAAGACACATGTCACGGTCGTCATTTCTTCTTCTCTACTGACCGAGGGTCGACAAACCTCGGCTAACTACGTCGCAGTGGGGCGTCGATGTCTCACTAGGACAGGGTACTCGTTGGGGGCGACTACGGCTAACATCGCCGTAGTGACACGTCAAGTGGTAAATGATAAGGTGATTGTCGATGAACTGCGGCTAACTTCGCCGTAGTGCGTCAAACTGCTCGGTGGTAGCTCTCCCTAACTCGATGGTTGTAGCTACTGAATATATCTCTCGCTACTGACAACAATCAAGGATTGCTGAAGAAGTTCAGTGATCTGTAAACTATCTATACTTCCCCTCTCTTCTCATAGAACATCCCTCAACTCCTGCACAGCCCCGCGCTCAGTCCTCTTCGCTCAACTTCGCCGTACCTCCACTAGTCGGGGTTATCGTGACAAATACCCTCTAGGGTCTCGTATCTTTACCGTAGTCAGTCTCAGTGGTTCGGGTGGTGGTTGGTGATGGTGAAAGGAGGGTCGGTGATGGTGGTTGTCAGGGATGTTACGACATGGTTCATGACAGAAAAGAATTGTCAAAGAAGATTTGCTCCAAAGCTAAAGAGAGCTCCAAACACATTAAAGCTGTTAGACTCATGGTCCACATCTGCCAGATCGGCAGACCAAGGCTTGGCCCAAAAGTCAGTGAGGAACTGGGGAGAAAGCTGTTCTATGCAGTGATGCAAGTGTGTCAGCATCTAAGAGCTGGCTTTCAACTTCATTGTGAGAGCTCCACAATCACGGTCTTTCTCAAATTCTGATATTGTGTTCAAATCTTGACCGAGTGGCTGCTGTGAGGCCTGTAGGTCTCCTCCATAGTGCAGTTCTGTACGCTTCTGAAGGCAGAACGCCTGGACCTTCTTTGGTTGAGAAAGAATTTGCTAGCAAAATGAGGTGTCTATCATCTTTGAGCAAGACTGGAACAATTCTGATAGCCACATGAAGCATGACAGTGGTTGAGGCTAGACTGGCTTATCAGCTGTCAATCAGGCAACAGACTGTCTACTTTCTTAAGGGGGACATGACCGTCTTGCTGGAGCATTATCGGTCAAAACCACCCGGTCAGAAGTTTCAACTGGTGGAATTCTGGTGAAGGTGTGATTTTGAGAGGACTTACTGGACCCATCCTGAATCCGGAACAAGTGTCTGCCCTGCCAGACATTGGGAGTATACAGCAGCGATAACTGCTGGTGGAGTTGACATAGTCGCCTTGGTCAAGATCCCAATTGAGTAAGAGGTCACTTCAGCCATGTGTTGTTCAAGAGTCTTCTGAGCTTGCCAAGTCAGGGATTTGTAGTCTTTTGAAACAAACCAAGCTGTAAGAAGAGAACAAGCAGCAAAGCCAATATTTAGATTAAGTAGGCTGCAAATCAGCCTCAGTGTCCAAATAAGGCAGAGACAAGTGCAAAAAAGGCAAGAGTTAGGACATGGCGATTCAAAGGACTTAAGGACTGGAATGAGAAAGATAACATGACTCACAAAGACCTCACAGGCTCAAAACATCCAAAGCAGCAAGAGTAAAATGCGAGGCCTGCAGATAATAAGGACAAAGCGGATGTGACTTCCCTCGACGCTCGCTCCCGTACTATTTGCTTGGGTGACTCACATTGTCGGGAGGTACGAAGTACCTGGTTCTTTGAACTGGGATCTGTTGAGATCCAGGATGGACTCCACGGCTTGTGACACAAATCCTCTTCAACAAGCCTTGACTGCAGAAGGAAAGAGTTGGGGATTGAGGAGGAAGCCATTGGATTAAATGCAGGATGAAAATCCTCCAGTAGTCACTTCAATCTTCTCCAACATCCGTGTAGGTAATGTATGTGAGTGATACCTGAGTACTGTTGGTGGCGAGATGGAGAAAACCCGGCATGGATCACGCGTTATATGTTCTTCTCGATTGGACCGGGAGGGACTCGTGGAGGTAGAAGTGTGAGTATCTGTCAGGGGTTCCTTTGGTTCTAGGAATGATTCGGGGACAAGATCCGCAACTGGTCAAGCACGGTAGCAATCTAGAGTCACAGACAGGTGAAGATACATTGTCCAAAGAGTAAAGTAGCTATGTTTGTATTATGTATCTGTCAGGTACGCCGCCGGCGGCGTCCTCCATATACCCGAGTTGTCACCACGTGACACTTTCCCCTCCTTCCTTTGAAGATCCTGAGTTTGATGGTTGCCACCGCTACGTACTTGTCAACTTCAAAGTGAATTTTGAATTCTACGTTCATCTCGTTATCCAACTCATGTCTCCATTTCTCTTTTACCTCTTTTCTCTCTATTATTGCATTTTCACCTTTCCTTAACATTTATCGTTCACAAATATGTCATCTCCTGCTCCTGCTGTCATCACTGCTCGTAAACGCGCCCGTCAACCCAAGCCTGAAGGTTTAGTTGCTCCTTCCTCTGCACCTGTCAACCACAAGGGTCGGAAGTGTACTGGCTTCGTAAATACTGCTGGGGATCCCAGCATTAGCCATGGTAAACTTCTTTATGCCCAAAAGTCAAATCATAAGGACTACGCTTATCCGTGTCTACCTCTCACACATGGGACAGATGAAGTTACCAATGCGGTTGAGGTATGTGGCTCACGTTATTGTTAAGAATAGTTTCTAATCCTTAGGACTTGAAAGTTGTTCTAAACAAGTTCGTGGATGGAAGTTACGAGTGTTCTGCGACGAAGAAGCAACTATGTGGTGAAGCTTTGTTGGAGCTCGCAGCTTTGGGCGGTGATGTAGCAATCGTGGGAGATCCGTTCATGAGTGAGTTAAGTGTACAAGACGTAGTTTCCTCCTAATGTTAGGGTGTTCTGGATGTTTGAACGACACAGAAGGTGATAATGAAGATGAAGTTGACGACCACGCTTGTGTAGTTGGTATTGTCTGAGTAACAGAGCCTGTTGGTCGTATGTTACGACCCGGATAATGTCCTAGGGTCGTAACCCATATCATACCAAGAGCTGATCTCATTTTCTCGCATTCTCAAGCCACAAGCCACCAAGAACCTCATAAGACAGGGTATCTCTACAAGATCTCAATGAGACACAAGACATCTCTAGGAGATACATACGAGATCTCTATGAGACATCAGTCATCTCTATGAGACATCAGTCATCTCTATGAGATCCATACGAGATCATCCCAAGACAAGAGACAACTCTACAAGATCTCTAGGAGATCTCTACAAGACATTCAGGGAAACATGAGATTAGCATGAGAACATGAGACATGAAGCAAGAGAATATACCGAGAAGATTATGAGACATCTCTACAAGACATCCTGAGATGTCTCTTGACATGTCTCTAGGTTTGTCTCTATGTAAAGTATATAAACCCCTTCCGTAGAAACCGTAGTTCTTCTTCTTCAAGGATCTAAATATTATTTGCCACTCTACAAAGACCTCCTCTTGACTTATACTTATTTTCAACACACCTCCCTCGACAAAACCTTTGTACATCATCACACACACTCTCATCATCATCATCTCGACTTGCTCGGATCCTCCGCAAGTCACTCTAGTCGTCCGACCAAATCACAAGTCTACGAACAACATAATTCTAACCGTTGTTGTTCAAGCTAACTAAACAGTTATAGTCCACCTGTCTTTGATTCATTAAGGTCTGTCAAGGACAGGACCGTGACATCGTACCAGATCGAGTGGTCCGTCTCCGGTGGAGCAAATTGATATTGCGACTCCGTAAGTTGTAGTTCTCAAGTTCGAGCTGATACCTTACAGTTGTTTTTATTGTCGTGCTCAACCCAACGTGTCGTGCTCGTTTAACATCGACACTCATCTCGGCAAACATCCCAAAGGTGTTGTCAAGAAGGACGCTGCCGATCATGTCTTGGAGAAGAGTCTTTTGGGTCGACAAATGTTGGCAGCTTCGGGATCGTTGAAGCCTTCAGAAAAGAAACACTTCCTGAGTGCGTGGGGGGAGTTGGAAGGAGTGAGTCTTGTTCTTTTCAAGTACGCCGGCTGATTCTAGTTTGTGCGTAACATGAAGAAAACAGGCAAATCGAAGGCTTCCTTGTTGTCCAAGGCTCCTGATTGGGTGACGTTTATGTTGGATGAGGATGACGAGTACGAAGATTGAAGGTGGTGTGTATGGAAATGTGGGTCTGAACTGTGGGTATGTGGTTGTCTGGTTCGTGGGGTTTAGCTGTAATATAGGAATTTGATTTTTGAGATGTAATATAGGCTAATGAATGTGTCTGAATGAATGGACTTAGTTGGTGGCTAAAGAAGGTGTGGTTACCAAGTACGTTGAATCAGTGAGAAGGTGTGAATCTGGCTCTTCGACCAGATTGCAACCTTTCACTGTATTCCTCGTACATGTCTTCGAAGCTGGGATCTTTCTCCACTTCCTCCTGTGGTTCCCAAGTACTTTCACTTATTGGCGACCCGCCCCTCTTGATTTTGTAGTGTTTCCTCTCCTTCCCTTTGTCCTTAAACGATCGTACTTCTAAGATACTTTTGTACTCATATGTGTTGTCATCTGCTAGATGCATAATCCGTAGTTGACTAGTGTGACGCTGTACGAGTCGAGTACGTGCCTCTTCGTTGTTATCTGTCGGAGTTTCGACGTATAACTTCAATAGTGACACATGAAAAACATTGTGAATGTGATAAGTTGGTGGGAGTTCAAGTTTATAGGCGTTGTCGTTAATTTTTTCTTTGATTGTGAACGGTCCCAACCACCTATGGTCCAATTTCTTTGAAGCTCGGACAGTACGGATGTTTTTTGTACTTAACAACACTTGATCCCCAACCTTGAACGTTTGATGTGAATGCTTTGAGTCATAAAACCTTTTCATACTTTGTTGAGCTTTTCTGATCTGTTCACCTAAATAAGACTGTAGTCTTTAGTGTTACGAACAAATTGTCTTCCTGCTTCGTTTTCGTGGTTGGTAGGTATAGCTGATATAGGCTCTGACATTGATTTCCGTGGTTGGTAACAATACCACCCTTCAAATGGAGTAAGTCCAGTTGTATTGTGTTTGGTTGTGTTGTATGTGAATTCTGCCTGCGGTAATAGATCTACCCGATTACGTTGATCGTAGTTGACAAATACGCGTAGGAACTGCCCTAACCACTTATTCACTATTTCTGTCTGTCCATCCGTCTGAGGATGAAATGCTGTTGAAAACTTTGTATCTGTACCCATCAACGAAGTCACAGTTCTCCAGAACGATGAAGTGTACTGTGTTCCACGGTCTGTTATTAACTTCTCAGGTACTCCTGTCCTTGGGTACACATTCTTCAAGAAAGCTCTTGCTAGTTCAGGTCCATCGATATTTGCTGTTGTTGGAATGAATATTGCCGCTTTTGTCAAGGGACATACCCATACACTGATTGAATTGTATCCACTCGATTCTGGTAAACCAACAATGAAGTCTGTTGTTATGGTTTGCCACGGTCCCGAAGGAATTGGCATGGGTATCAACAGACCATGTAGTGTATGTCGACTGTATCTCGTTTGTTGACAACTATCGCATCGTTGTACCCAACTGCGTACATCTCTCTGTAAACTTGGCCACCAGTAGTATCGTCGAATGTTTGATATTGTTTTTGCTATCCCTGGATGACCACCAGACTGACTATCATGTGCTTCTCCCATTATCACCTCTCTCACTGTAGTTGGTACTATGATGGCTGATCTAAAACGAAGCCGTCCTTCACTGTCTCTCGTAATTGGTCCTACTTCTTTGACTTGTCTATTCTATCTTTCGTAGTCTTTATCATTTTTCATGTTGTCATCGATCATTTTTAGGATCGGGGTTCCAGCTAGCTCTGTTGATTGGATCGCTAACAACTGGCTCCGTTCGATCAGGGGTCGGTAGTTGTGGTTGTTAAGTTCATTTGATAGAGTGGTAGTTGTGCTGTCCGTTGGTCGGTAGTCTGCTCTTCTCGATAACACATCTGGTTGTGTTGCTTGACGCCCTGGTTGATATTTGATGACAAAATCAAAATCTGACATATACTTGCTCCATCGTGCGAGTTAACTGCTTTGTTGTCAGAAAATATTCCAAACTGTGATGATCTGACAGTACCTCTACACGTATTTGAGCACCTTCCAGGTATTGTCGCCAAGTGCAAAAAGCAAAGTATATGGCTAAGAATTCTTTATCGTGTATCGGATAATTGAGTTCTGCCGGCATCATTTTCCTTGAAGCAAAGGCTACTGGTTGTGTTACACCATTTGCGTCCGTCTGTGACAGTACTGCACCCAGTGCATAGTCTGAGGCGTCGGTTTCGACTATCAGTGGTAGACTTGGGTCGAAGTGTCGCAACACAGGTGCAGTGCTTAAAGCAACCTTTAACTTCTCCATTGCTGCTTCACAATCTATCGTCCATTTGAACGGCCTTCCTTTTTTGGTAAGTTCATGTAAGGGGTTGCTAACTTCGGAGAATCCTTTGATAAATTTTTGATAGAAGTTCGCAAATCCTAAGAACGATTGTACTTCTTTCAAATTCTTTGGTGTCGGCCGTTCTTGTATTGCTTCAATCTTTCCTTTGTCCATCATCAACCCCCCAGGAGTTACCACATAACCCAAAAATTCCACCTTTCTTGTATGAAATTCACACTCTTCCCATTTTGCATACAGCTCTGCCCTTCTTAATTGTCCCAGTACTTCCTTGACATGAATAATATGTTGTTCTTCAGTGTCGGAGAATATTAGAATATCATCCAAGTATACTATCACGTACTTGTCTAGTATGTCACAGAAGATGTCATTCATTAAGTGTTGAAATGACGCTGGCGCGTTCGTAAGTCCGAAAGGCATGACTTTATACTCAAAAAGTCCATATCTTGTTCTAAACACCGTTTTCCATTCGTCTCCTTCTGCTATCCTCAACAAGTTGTAAGCCCCACGGAGGTCAATCTTTGAGTATATTTCAGCCCCTCTCAACCTATCCAACAAGTCTCCGATTAATGGCAGTGGGTATCGATTTTTTACTGTGATATCGTTAAGTCTTCTATAATCCACACATAATCGCGGAGATTGGTCCTTTTTTTTTGACAAATAGTATTGGTGATGCTGCTGGGGATTGTGAGGGTACAATGAATCCTTTAGCTGGGTTCTCATCCAGGTACCTTTGTAGTTCGGTTTGTTCCGTCTCCAACAATGAGTAGATTGGACCGAATGTGTGTTTCCCTTCTATAACGTATATGATGATCGTACGGTCGATGCGATGGGAGTGTGTCCG